CGTCCGAAACTATTCTTCGCTGGCTCAAATCTATTTTACAACAATTATTAACAGTCTCTAAATCGAAGTCCCAACCATGTAGTTCTCTATGTATATACTTGACCACAGTTAATATCAACATCATCATAATTGTCGGTAACGACAGTTATTTATTGTGCTGCCATCTATCCATATATCACAAAACCACTGTAAGAGCTATCCATTTTCGACTTCGACGAATCGTTTCTTCGCTTTACAACTACCTGACATGGAAGGCAGCCCGAGAAAAATTTAATGTTCTGAAACGGTTTTTCGCAGTTTTTTTATGACACCTTCCGCATTCCAAGTTATAACCTTATAAGGATGCTTCTTTTTGTTCGCCTCTCCGATACTAACACTGTTCCTCAAACCTAAGAAATTCTATTTTTCTTCAGACTAAGCTACCTCTTAAAGAAACAACAGATCCTCATGAGGAGCACGCCAAGGGGCATATTCCACAAAAGAACGAACTAATAAACAATTTACAAACACAAGTTCTTGTAGAATTCTGTTCCACAGAGAAATAATTCACATTCGTAAATTTTACTAATCATTACAACAGACATCATTAGAATACAAATCAAATCCTGGATTTGTGTGGGATTGAACAAATATGCAACGACACAAATATATATATGTGGACAACGTATTTATTGTGCTGCGACCTGTGAGTAATTCACAACTAAACACAACGGCGACGTGACAATAGGCCAGTCGGTATGAAGGTTAACTACTCTTCAACATTTAAAATTCCTCCCCCCGGCGCCAAACATAACATACCAGGAATAATTTTGAAACCCTGATATCGAAAGTTTTTTTGTCCAAGAAGAACTTATGAGAGAGAGGGGAGTTCAGTAGTAGTGGGGGTCGCATAACCTCAGCTGCGATGACGCTCCGATGTAAAAACAGCTAGAAGTACAAACCAACTGAAGCTGTCTGCGCGTGCTACGAACGGGTCCATCTCATACGACCAAAATCAGTCCCTTGCGCAAGTGCCAACACTTCTCGCTCGGCTTCTACGACAATGAACTTGATTACACTAGCTATCACAAGTGAACTAGTCGGATATATCATTTCACTTTAGTTCTGGGGTTATCTGACGGTAACGCCAGCCTACTTTCACCTCGAAATATAACAGCGTCATCTGGCAGAAAAAAAATATACAAATTAATTGAAAGTACATATTCTCAATTTAACATTGTGTCCGAAAACGTTTTTGTTTTCTCGAAAAACATAAATACTTATTCTCTCTATGGTGTAAGAAATTCTTTTAATAGACGACTGTATACTCGGCTTGTCAAAGAATAGCCCACCTTCTTTATTAAAATAATATAACATTATACAATATAAACAAACAGGTCTAAACTTTGGTATAAACACGAGTGTGAATACGAAAAACAAAAATGCCGGCGATAAACTCTTCCCACGTCAGAGAACTATTTGCCCCTTTGCTTGTTTAAATTGGCTGATATGTTATACTATTTGCATGTTAAATTTCTGAGCAAAAATTATGGCTACGATTAGCTTTCTCTTAAAATACCCACTCAATCTACAAGCACTCTTAAAACGAAATAATTTGTAGGTTCGTGTGGTTGTCAGTGGCTTGGGCCGCCTATAGTCAACCTGGAGGGACTAAAGAAATGGACTACAAACCTCAGCCAACCTAGCCGATTTTCGGGCCGAGATTTGATACAGGGACCTCCTAAATAGGAAGTAAAAAGGGTGTTAACAACTCGATCATTCGGTAGGAAATTAAGCGTACGATTTTAGTTCGTTTTCTCGTGAATGCTACTTTCAGTTCCTTTATGTGGAGCATAGGGGTCTCCTTTTGGAGCTTTCCTCGATCTATTTAGACATTTGGTAGAACTCCTTGGACGAGTCATCAGTCTATCGCGCGGCCTCTACCTGTGCACAGGACAGCACAACATAGAAAAAAGACGTAGACAACATCCATGCCTTGAGTGGGTTTCGAACCCACGGTCGTAGCGTCAAGCGCACGAGGTCTACGCCTCAGACAGCGCGGCCACTGTAACCGGTCTACTTTCAGTCCTTTCTTATAAATATGGAACGGACGAACAAGGCCTCCAAAACAAAATGTGGTCAATGTCAGATCAAGCGTGTTCGAGATGCCACAGCACAGAAATTCATTTTCCTTAATTATTTCGAAAACCTTGAGATACGGAAAAATGCTAATGAGCATAAATAAAATGTACGTTTCATTGTTGCATTTCTCTTTGCAGAGTTTATTCGAAACATTTCTCGGCCCTACAAATACTTAGCGAGTTACGCTACCAGAGGTAACATACAAAAAATCAGTGTTTTCATTTGAAGTATGAGTAATTGTTTGTTTCATGGAATTCCAAACGCAGAGATGCTAGTAAGCGCCTTTCTGCGACCTCAATAGGACAGCGCCTAATTGGGTAATCACATATTACAGGTATTTGGGAGTCAGATCGTAATAATTATTACATCACTGTTTCAACGCTGAATACTCTGTAGATAATCCATACATTGTAGTCAATACGAAATGCAAGCCTACATTATTACGCAAACTTTCTGATTATAACACAGAATTTTCCTTTTTATTCTATTCTCTCTCACAGAACACATTACAGAGCAATAGGAGAACGCGGCGGTAAAACTGAAAAAATCGAAATAGCCACTCCTCAGTATGATAAAGAAAACTAACCCTTCTAAATCCCCGTCAAATAAATATTATCGACGGGGTGAAGTGGTAGGCTTTGAAGAAGATCAAACTCACGAATTTAAGGGTCATCGAAACATAAGTATTGAAGAAATTCCTCCCTGGTGTATCAACAATTCCGATAATAACAGGACAAGGAATGCAGTATCCAGGTAACTAGTATAACGAAATTATGTCTGTGTACATTTTTATCCAGAATAGAATGGAACTGAATTTATTTATATTCCATAGATCCTTCATAGGCCCAAGCCAAGGATGTAGAACACACCATAACACAAATACAGTATTTATTAATAGTACAATTATAGATTACATAATTATGACATTCATTTAAAGCCAAAATAATTGCATTTGAAAGCATATTCACTATTGCTTACATGTATTCATAATAGCTGAGAATTTTTGGTTGAGGTAAATTCTTCAATGGAATAGAAGTGAGGTACAAGATACTCTTTTAGTGCGGGTTTAAACTTCTTTATATTGTAATTCAGACTTTTACAGTGGCAGGAAAATTATTGAATGTCATAAGTACAATATAGTAAACTCCTTCTTGATATTCACTGAGTTTAGTGTTTGGCATATACATACATCTTTATTACATTCCATGGATCCATAAGTTAGTCAGATGACAATAGAATGTAGGATGAAGGTTTTATCTGTATCTTGTACTTATATTGTGGATATCTGAGTCTGTCTGAAATTCTTTTGTGTTGTCCTCTACAAATGATAACAATGAAAGCAAGAATTTGGTGGCTAGTGGAAGAATATAAAATTTCTTAAATAATTTTTTGCATGATGCTCTCCTTTTAGTGCCTGCCATTATTCTAATGATTTTCTTTTGAATGTAAAATACTTTTTTGCTGTCTGTTGATTTTCCCCCCAAAATAATTCCATATGACATGATAAAATGGAAGTAAGCAAAATAGATTAATTTTAAAGTTTGTCTTTTCGTGAATCATGTGACAGTCCTCATAGCAAAGCATGCTGAACTTAGTTTAGAGAAAATGTAATGAATATGTGTTTTCCATTTAAGTTACTGTCAATTCGTAGGCCAAGAAATTTAGTTGTTAACACTTCTTCAATTGTTTTATCCTCATTATCCCATACTTTGATTAACACAGTTTTTGCTGGTAGTACAAAATTTCATGGAATATGTTTCATCAAAATTTAATGTGAGTTTAGTGGTTTTAATCCATTTATTGAAGCTAGTAAAGACATTATTCATGCAAATTTGGAAACAGCCTATTCCTGGATGTAAAATAATAATATAAATATTATCTGCAATAAGTATGGGTTTAGAATGACAGTTAATGGTTGGTGGTAAATCATGTTAGTAATGACATTGGTTAGTTGTTAAATATGCATGACTCCTTTTTAACTATATTCCAGATTGCTTTTATTTTATTATTTGACTTTAGTATCTGCTTATTTTAATGCATATGTTTAGCCTCTTTAATGACTTGAGTATCTGTGTTGTAGTATTTACTTAATTAATTCTTGGTTCTGTATTCCATTATGGACCAAGGCCTCCTGCACAATTCTAGCTAGTGTCTGTCTTTCCTGTCTTTGTTACTGCCATACTCTCACACCTGTCTCTCTCAGATCTTTCTCTAGTCTTCCATCGCTCCTGCATCAACCTGGTTTTCCTTTTCTGTACCATCTGTATGTCCTAAGAATCTTATTCTTTTACTTTTAAGTTATGCTACAATTCCTGGATTTCCACATAAATTATACAATTTTTGGTTCTTGTGAATTTTCCACCCTCCACCTTCCTTCTTTGGCCCACAAATTCTCAAAAGGATACCTGTTTCCCAGGTAGACAGGGCTTCTTTGTCTTTAAAATATATAACATCTCCGAAGCCACATACACCACCACATCATTCCCTACTATGTACCTGTATATCTCTTCTTTCCCAATTTTGGTGTTAGTCTCCCAGGACAATTTTAACATAATTCCTATGGATATTATCAAAAACCTCTTCTAATTTCTCATAAAATGCTTCCTTTACTATTTCGTCTTTCTTCTCAGTTGGTGCATGTATATTAGCCATGGTTATATTAAAGAATATTCCTCCAAATAATTGACTTTTTGAACACGTGCATCTAAATAGTAAAAGGTATGCTTCTGCACCCTGTAGGCTATTTCAGAAGCAATTGAAGCCAAAGGTCATGCCTCTTTAATTTAATTTGTATGAATTGAAATACCAGTTATACTCTGCTGAAATGGCTTGCCCTTTCACAAAGTTTGAGTGGTTTAAGACAAAAAAATTGAACACTTTATATTGTTTTCAAACAAGTGACAGGTTTTCTAATACAATGGTTTCCTATGAAAAGTTTTGTAGGCAGATGTTTCAACTTGTTCCCTGTACTTCCAGGAATCTGTGTGGCTTCTTGAATTCAGGATGGGGTGGTACTGTGTACATTGGTATACTTGATGGAGGCAGCGTTCAGGGGGTGCGACTAACACAGTATCAACAAGATCATTTGTCACTCAGTCTTCAGGATGCCATGAATGCTTTCAGACCGCCTGTTCCACATTTTATGTACAACACTGAATTTATACCTGTTCTTGAACCACAAGATAAATATCCGTGTCAATTGTACGTTCATAATACACAATTATTTTGTTTGTAGTCAAACCAGGGTTTAAAAATTCAGAGGGAGACCACTCATCCAGGCAAATAAAATATGAAGTATACAGTGTATGACAAGACTGATAAACAGTATTGTCTGTTCAGAATTTGCCAAATTTGGTTTCAGCAGGCATAGACGTTGTATTAGAAATATATTAATATAACTTGGCTAACATTTAAATACACATTATAAGTAAGTTCACTATAAAACAAAGTTTATGTTACAGCATGTTTTGTTATATAGTGATTTGACCTCTATATACTAAAGGAAATAGTATTCTTATGTGTAATGTACAGTTGATTCAAATGACTACTACCCTGAAATTTAGACCATTACCTCCTTCAAGGTAATGTACTACTGCAATTTAGTAGCTGTCATGAATTTATCAGTATGAGAACAGACCTACTGTGAATATTAGCAACATTAGGGAACCACTACATGCTGACTCCTTAAATACTTTGGTGGTTCTTATGAAAGATTGGTCTCATTTAAGAGCAGTGGCACTGGAATCATTCTCTTCACCCTAACACACAAAATCCAGTTTGCACTGGTGGTAACATAAACAGACCATAAAGCTGATGTCATGTTGAATGTGTGTCACAGGGAACACTGGCCCATCATTAAATTATTAATTTTTAAACCTGCTAATAAATTACTGCATAATCATGTTAGTCACATCTGGCTGTAGAAACAGTAAAAGTTGTCCATGTTCCTGAGTACCATACCATGAAGGCATCTAGTGGTAAGAGAGGTAAAGCTCTACACATTCTTAACCTGAGCATGAAATTGAAGTAAGTGGTCAACTTCATGCAGTGGCTTATTTATCTCTGGAGAGACAGCTTATAATACCCTTTGATAGGAGGTTGAGCCCCTGAACTGGTCTGAACATTGTGATAAAATTTTCATATATGACAGGAATCAAACCCCCGTCATCTAGAGCATGGCGAGCCACTAACCTGAGCCTTCATACCTCATCATTAAACCACTACTATGCTAGTCTTATCATGTTTCGTCCCAATATATAACTGCATGCACTTCAGAATATTTTTTCAAAACAATTATTCATGATCTTGAATATCCTTTTCAGCATACCAGTTCCTGAGGATGTCCGTCAACAACCTCATTATCTTCGCTCACATTCGTTCTGCTGGTGTGATTATGATGCTTTAGGAAGTTACCATAATGTAAGTATTCAACACAACATGGTTTCTTGCAATGCATTTTTTAAATAACATGCAGTAGCTTGTTTATAATTGCAGTCATATAAAATTCCACCTGCAATTGTTGTATCAGGTATATGCTGGCCTTCTGTATTGCAGGTTTCAACAAATCCTGGACAATTTAAAAGTTCAATGTTACACAAGTATTTTCCTGAGTATAACCTAAACTTTTTCTGTGTTTAGATACAAATAATTTTAAAACCTGCAGCTCATTTTTCCACTTCCATCAGATTGACAGCAGAAGCCTTTCTGTCCATCTCCATCATAAGTTTATAGGAAAGTAGAAAACATTGTGATATTAAACCGTTCTTGCCAATCAGCATGTTCATTATACAAGCTCCCAATGAGACTGGTTAATGCAAACACCTTGCTTCAGATATGTGTGTGGAATGACATTTTGTACATGTGCCTCGGTTTTCATCAAGGAATGAAAGCATACAGAATTTTATTACATGTCCCACTGATAAATATTATTGGAATTTCAAAGATAATTATTACTTCCTTAAGTTAAAAGGCAGTATTTGCTTAACTTCTGCAAGGTAGGTGAACATTTTCACATGTACACAAAACAATGGAAATAAATTCCAAATGTACATCAAACTCAAAGCAAGTTAAACACAAGACCAACAATGCAGAATTATTCAATACTGTGTTTTATTTAGTCTCCTACAAGTAACTTTTATAGCTTTATGGTCTTTAAGATGTTTTTGGAAAAAACGTTTCCAGACACAGATATTTAACATTGAAAATGTATGTTTTCAGTTTATTAACGTTCATTCTGTTATCACCTGAAATGATCTCAAATTACTGTAAGAAAAGTACAAACCAAAAGTCAACTGCTGTTTTCTCCTGCTGGAAATATCTTTGTTGATCTTGTACAGCACTTTTATGGATATTTTCACTGTTTACACTTTTTTCACTTATTGGTCTTGTGAATCTTTGAGAACGATCTGGATGTAATGTCCTGATGGCTCTTACTGGCAGGACCTGTGAGGAAGTTTCACCTCCACACTTCTCAAACAATTGTTTTTCAATGTGCATGCAGAATTGTAAATGAGCATATTTTCTGAATATCACAAACATGTTCAACATTCTACAATCTAACAAGTGGTGGAATATATTTTTGTAGTCCTTCTTCATTCTCTTGTCATACTGTACGTCACAATGCTCTGATCAGAAAGGTCAACACTACTCACTGCATCATTGTAATCAATGCACACGTTTGGCTTTTTTCTCCTTCTTACCATGGACAGTTTTCATTTCTTCATTATATATGCTGCTCAGCATGGAAACATCTCTCTTATTCTTCCATTTCAGAGCCATCATCTTTATTCTGCCACTGTCACTTCTTTCTTTTTAGTTTCTTTCCTATTGTGTCTATAAGAAGTCTTTTCCTGTTAGATTTTACTGTGCATACTGCAACTATTTTAAGTTCATTTAGCATATCAAATAGCTCTGCAATATATGAATAAATGACATTCACCTGTCAATAGCTGATCTTCAGGAATGAGGTGGTCAAACAGAGGTTTCACTTTGTAAATTTTTGAAGCAAAAACAGGTGTTGCCAGCAGTTGTCTGTGAGAAGAATACTTCCATAACTCAGGTTTCTGCACAAAGCTTTGCAGCAATAATAATACAAAGTAAAAATCTTATTAATTTTTTGTTCACAAGAACCCAGTCCTTGTCTTCAGCCCGTTTCATTTTACAGAGCAGTGTTCTTTCATTTTATTTTTGATATGTTGGGCAAGGCCGTGGTCTAGGCAACACGGAGTTTTCCTCCGGGGGCTTTCCCGGTTTCGCCGTGGCATCCCAACAATTACTCCATTCACACACAGAAGAAGGCAATTGCAAACCACTTCTGGATCATCTGCCAAGAACGTATATGAACAGGTCCCAGTCCGAGAAAAGGATGGAAGGATCCTGTTCATATGGACCTGTCATCAGACAGAACACTAAATAATAATAAGATGAGGTGGTCTAGCGGTTAGAACGCTGGCTTTGTAATCCTGGGGTCTCGGGTTCGAATTTATAACTTGTGTTGGGCAAGGCCTTGGTCTAGGCAACACGGAGTTTTCCTCCGTGGCATCCCAACAATTACTCCATTCACACACAGAAGAAGGCAATGGCAAACCACTTCTGGATCATCTGCCAAGAACGTATATGAACAGGTCCCAGTCCGAGAAAAGGATGGAAGGATCCTGTTCATATGGACCTGTCATCAGACAGAACACTAAATAATAAAATAATGTGTAAATATGTTTGTTGAGCAATGATTTTACATATGTAATCAAGAAAGACTTCATATATCCCTTGAGTATTCATTTTCTTCATCATTTCCTCCTTTATACCAGCATCATACTTTGGTGGAACTCTGTTCCTCTTATGTCTGTTTATAACCCACTATGCATTATTACTACAATAAACTACACTGGCTACAGTACCATCACTCTCTAAATCACTCCAGTCACTTGCATTCAGAAATTAACTTTGCAAATTTGCACCCCTGTGGTAGTTCTCACATTTCCACTTGTAAAGTATCTGCAATATTTCCTAAAGATACAATTTCTTTATCAGTTCCTGAACTAATCACTTAAAATCCTTCTCTTCCTCACTCAGATCAATCACATCTCGTATAGTGTCGGTAAGTTCAGACTTCTTTTAGTCAGATCTGTAGGGAGTAAATACTTTGCCATAGTAGCTGGTCCTTACAGCACGGACACAGGTAACTGATGAAGAAATGTTTGCTGGCCACCATAGAATTTGTCATTACATGCAGAGAGCAATCTGTTTACCGCATGTCAATAGACAAGAAACATTGATTTTGTAATATACCTGAGTCTGTTTTGCATGTTATAAAAGTGTTGCAATAACGAGAGCTCACAAACCATCGTATGTATCATTAGGACCACCGTGGAAAATCACTCTAGATGGCAAAAGCTGTCAACCATGTGATCAAAGATTGATGTCTCTATCAGCCTTCACAGTGCAGGAAGAAATAAATCCTTATAGCTCTGCATATGATGCATTGCCCAGTACAGACTGGATTTCAAGCAACAGCATATGTCACATTCCCTACCTAATGGGTTAAATCACAGCATAACACTTCTGTGAAAACACACATCTTATGATCACTGACTACACATGATATATTTCCAACATTTTTGCACTTATATCTTGAATTTTAATTTTTGTGATGTACTGAGGAGATTTGACTTGTATTTCTAGAGCGATGTCATTTGCAGGGTATCATTCCTTTATCATATGTTGTGGAAATCACTGTTCTACCATTAAACTGCAATGATCCAAGGGTCTGTGCCCTGATGCCTGACTTCAAGATACCAACTTCTCTTATCTTCCAATGTGAGGATGGCCAGATATATTTCAGGAAACATTCTACACTTATCAAGGTATTCAGGAAAAGTTAATAACTGAAAGAATTTATTACATTCTTCAAACCATATGGTGGCACTATCAGGAACTACAATTTAATAATTAATTTCTGTGCATGATTTTTATTAGTACATATTCAGTTTAGGTTTCTTGTAACATTTGACTTCAAAGTTTCCTCCATTGCCATGTTTATACTTATGACAAATGAATGCTTCAGTCACAGACTGTGGGTGTATTCATAATTCACCTCCATATACAGTTTAATGTGGTTATTTTTTCTGTCATGCTATATGCTATGTAGGTGCTTGGGGGGAGAGATAATATAGCTCCTACTCATTCTTAACCTCCGCACTAGATGGGGTGAGTGGTCTGTCACACCTCATGTGGTTACTGCTATCAAACTGAAGATTTTGTGTGGAGTTTATGTTATTTCGTAGTCTTGCAAAAAACCTAACAAAAGTTGCAATTTTTTAAAATATATATTACCACAGAAATTTTCAGAATCCAACACGAGTAATGTTAATGTTATTCCCCCACCTCAAAAGTTCATATGACCTCCATGATGGTATTAACCCTTTTAATCCTAATGGTAACTGTTAGGCTAACTTAATAATCTGTACCACTAAATTTTGTATTTGTGTTTCGCATGATTCTCAGTGTAAAGCAAAATTATTTCTTTAATTTCAAAAACCACTTGATATTTGTAACTGTGAAGTGTTGTGTTTAGAAGATGGCTGACATTTGGGTTGTTGTGCCATGTAGTATAGTAAAAGTTTACCAATGATGATGGAGGGAGCAAGGACCTATGAAATGTGGGTAAACTTGGAGTACACAGCTCAACAACCCAGAAGACAGCCATCTTCAGACTCACTGCCTAGAAAACATCAAATCCTACTCAGTGTTGTGTTTTATTTGCACAAAATTATAGTAACCACAGTTTGAAAGCTGCAGCCCTGATGCTGTGAAAAATGTGCAGCTGTTTCTGTACTGTGCCGTGGAGGGATACACAAGGACAATTATGAACATTCAAATGAATGTGTACCTTTACCTTTTTTGTGTTATTTTCACAAAATTCATAAAATGGATGCATACCATGGGTTCATGTCTATCCATGTTTCATCCCCAAAACTAATGAATGGACTTGAGTGACATCTGGTATTGAGTGGGGTTTACAATACAGTAAAGGTGGAAGCAGTTGTCATGGCTGTGACTGATCAAGATACGTTGCTATGAGATGAAACAGTGTCGTATCACAGACAGCATTCACTGATCATTCTTATTCTTAACAAATGGAAAATTTCAAAGCAAATGCTGCATATCAGCAGTGAGAGGTCATCATGCAGTGACTTCATGGAAATGCAACTGCACATGACACTTTCTCAGATAAAATATTTTCAAAGTGGTGTTACCATTTTTAGTATCATGGCATTACTTAAAAAAGGAATACATATTGAAAGCATCCCTTCAAATTCTTAGGAGTCCATATATTCTGAGGGTAGTATTTCTCTGCATGTAGTAATGCCACTGATAAGCACAATGAAGTGCTGTAGTATTCCATACATTGAATTACTGTTTTATTTCACATGCAAATGGACTTACAATGATGTGATACACCCAACTTTCCTTAGATAAGAATGTGGGCTAAAAAGGGAGAAGAAAGATTCTGAGCGTTGTTACCGTGAAATATATTTTGATGGCTTCAAACTCATTTATGCTGTTGTGTTGCCAGTATTCGTTTTGTGACGTGGAGGAGCATACCAGAGAAGAAGTGTTGCTTTACAAAATGCCACAGCTGATGGAAGCATGGAGAGAATGGAGGACATACAGCAGATTGTTGCAACTTGTCAATGAAGTCATAGCTCGGCAGAAACATCTTCACACACATATAACCAATACAAATTATGGTTATGAAACACTAAAAGATAAGATGCAGCCAAAAAGTGGATGATCAGATGCTGTAACCACAACTAGATGTTTGAAATGCACTGAAGACAGGAAGTTTCTCTTATGTTCCTTATATTTATATGTTTATGTGATTTTGTGTGGAGTTTATGTTATTTCGTAGTCTTGCAAAAAACCTAACAAAAGTTGCAATTTTTTAAAATATATATTACCACAGAAATTTTCAGAATCCAACACGAGTAATGTTAATGTTATTCCCCCACCTCAAAAGTTCATATGACCTCCATGATGGTATTAACCCTTTTAAGCCAAACGGTAACTGTTAAGCTACCTTAATAATCAATAACGCTTTATTTTGTATTTGTGTTTCCTGTGATTCTCACTGTAAACAGCAATTACTTCCTTAAATTTCATTAACCACTTGATGTTTGTAATTGTGAAGTGTTATGTTTTATTTGCAGTACAGACTAGATGTTTAAATATTATACAGACGGGTTTCAGCTTCAAAGGTTAATGATAATAGGAAACTGAGAGGCATAAAGATGGAGTGGCATCTACTTCAGGATTGTCATATCAAGTTCAATGAAGATCAGTCAGATATATAAAAATTATGATGTGGCTTTCATATATCACGGGTCTGATGGTTTATTTGCACAAAATTATAGTAACCACAGTTTGAAAGCTGCAGCCCTGATGCTGTGGAAAACGTGCAGCTGTTTCTGTACTGTGCCGTGGAGGGATACACAAGAACAATTATGAACATTCAAATGAATGTATATTTTGATGGCTTCAAACTCATTTACGCTGTTGTGTTGCCAGTATTCGTTTCGTGACGTGGAGGAGCATACCAAGTTTCTCTTATGTTCCTTATATTTATATGTTTATGTGAGTTAAAATCATAGTGTAAGAGTTTAACACAGTTCATTGTTTTTAACACACAAAAATGTTCAAAATAAAGTATGTACGTACATGTTTCATCTTCATATAACATTTTGCATGTCTAGTGCCTATAATTAATTACTAATCATCATGAAACATCTAAATACAGATGTAGTTCTACATAAGGAATGAGAAATTCATATGAATGCAGCAAATGGGTGGGAAAGCTGAAGGGAACAAAATGTAGCTACTGGGTTTGTTACTGATTGGTGACCCTTGGGCTTCACCTGTCCTGTCTACCCACAGGGGTTGTGTGGGTCAATCTGTTGACAGCTGCATACAAGACAGGTTTGAGTTTTGAGATTTTAGTGAGGTGATACTAGCAAAGAAGAAAAATTCAGTATAGTGAATGCATTTTAAACAGAAGTAAGTTGCATTCAAAAGTATTGTGGAACAATGGTGAAAGTCCTACGCAAAGCTTATATTACTGTCATTTGTCATACTAATGATAAGTTAATATTTTGCATTTGATCTGTAGCTATTCCTCAACTACATTGCCACCAACATCAGAACGTGCTGTTGCACTTTTCCCCACTACATTGTAATCCAACTTCCCTTTCCTTCTCCACTTGCACTGGCAATCACCATCATACAGTACAGATCAGTACAGGTTTATATGGCAAGATGGCATTAGAATCAGTCTAGGAGAAATATAGTGTGGACTGGATTCAACTGGCTTGGCAAAGGGTTTTCTGAAAATGGTAATTAACCCTTCAAGTTCTAGGGAAAACTATTGATCATGTCTACTTTCACTTCAACTTGACAAGAAAAACCTTGTTCCAAGAAGTCAGTTTAGTCTTGGAGGACAGACGTCACTGTGAATAACTGTGCAACAGTTGATCCATATGCACAAACAGAAGAAGAACGTTGTGATGGAAGGCATCGAAACAAACTTTTGATACAACTGTCAAGTTTTTGTGCAGCTCGAGTTTTATTTGAAACTGATTCATAGTGAAGTATATAATATATTACTGTCTACAGTGTTTGACTAGTACCTGTAGTAGCTTGACATGTATGACCACGAAAAGGTCCAGGCAGTAGAAGCAGATGGGACATGAGACAGAGAAAACAGTGCACTGTTTAGTGGAGGAAGTTGGTACTTGAAAATAGTCGAGATTTCAGGTTTTCCCATCAGCAAGACCATCTGGGATGCTGTGCCATGACTCATTGCCCCATCAGGCTGATGGCAGTGGAGCTACCTATGAAAAGGAATTGGCACAGGGGGGTACAAGGTTGAACACTTTTAAACAACTTGGCTTTAGTAGTAGCCACTTAAGAGCAGGTGCACAAAATAATTGCATAGGAAACATATGTTTCATTATCTTTGTCCCGATCTGTTGTTTTAACGGCCATGCAACCATTTTGTCACATGAACCAATGGTATTCTGATAAACAACAGAGGTAGTATGTGATATACCTCTATATTTTGGTCTGTTTACTCTCACATTCAAACAGTCATCACCTGCAGATACTGTGACTAGAATACTAAAAACTGAACTTTTGCTAGATTGGCAGGCAATGTGGGATAGCATGAGCAGTATGATTGCTTGTCATGAAATCACTATAATCAATATCTTTTTAACTCTAAAAAATTACATTTCACTGATACTTAAGGGCAAATTAATTTAAAAATTCTGATGTGGCTTATAAGTGAGGTCTTGTTTACTCTCTTATTTTCTTTTGCCTGTTGTCTTGCATGGTTGTGAAATAAGGTCTCTTATCTTGAGGGAAGAATGAAGATTACAAGTGTTTGAAAAGAAGGTGCTCTGGAAGATATCTTGGCCTAGGAGGGATGAAATAAGTGGGGAATTTAGAATATTGCATAACGAGGAGCTGTATGAATTACACGGGTCACCTAGTATAGTGAGGGTAGTGAAATCAAGGAGGCTCCACTGGGTTGGACATGTAGCATGCATCGGAAAGGCAAGGGGTGCATACAGAATTTTGGTAGGGAATCTTTCTGGGAAACGACCACTGGTCAGATCAAGAAGGATATGGGAGAATAACATCAAGATGGATCTTGGGGAGGTGGGCTGTGAGGATGGCAAATGGATGGAGTTAGCTGAGGATCATGGCCAGTGGCGGGCTTTGGTGTTGTCAGTGTTAAACCTGCGGGTTCTGCCACCAGGGAGTTAGTTATTTTCTTTTCAAAAGGTAGGTATTTGCACACAACCTATATTCATGCAAATACAAATAGATCATAAACATTAAAAACACAAGAGACAAAGTGGAACTTCGAGATTATACTGGGTACATTTACATAATCAGATGCACTAATGGATAACTAAACTGTATAATTATTCACTCATAGTTCTTGCATTACTCATCACACACACAATCAACAATTTAAAGGAAAGCATCATATGTTCTTACTCAAAGTTTTCTTAAGATAAAATTGTTTCAAAGGTAGAAACAATTTGGAAAAATGATAATTTACAAACTTACTGCAGCCATCAGCTATGTCAATATGAAATAAATTACAGAAAATAAGTCACATATCACTGCTTCTTAAAAAAATAAGCATTTTCTTTTATGACCTACATACTGCACTACTACTTTAAATCTTGTAGAGATGAAAATGTTCTTTCTTCTGGTCTATAAAAGTTTCGCTGCTCCTGAGTAGCTCTTTGTATTTCTTTTTCAAAGTAAAGTACCGTCTTCCGGAGACCAGCCATAAGCGGCACCTAGTGTCAGACAAGAATGATGAACGTGAATACAGACAATTACATAAAGATAAACTTTCTTAAATATACTCATTGGGTATACTGTTAGGTTGTGAGAACCAAGAAAGTTATAATGGACTGGGCATGTACCTCAGATGGCAGAAACATACAATACATATAAAATGGTATATTTACCATCAAATTCACTTTGATTAAAATGGACTGGATTGAATAGGCTCAGAACAAGATCAAATGATGGGATTTCTCTGCAAATGTAACAGTTATTACTTCAATTATATGACATACTTTAGGCTCCCATCCAAGATACTTCTTAGCTCGGGAAATGTCAGGCTTTCTTCTCTGAGGATCATCTTCTACAGCTGCCACTTGCTTGATTGTACTTGATTTTCCTACTAGTTGGTTTATCATTGATGCAAACTCTGAAAAGAGAAACCTCATCTGCTATTGTGACCATCTATTATTTATATTCCTTTAGAGTATATTAATTTTTTTCATATGTAATGAGTTTCCTTCCTTTGGCAAGGAAGTTCCACACTTAGTAACCACCTTCCTAACATGTTACACTTCACTGTAACTGTATCTCAGGATTTTTCAAAGCAGTTAGAGCTTTGTCAGCCAACTCACAGGAGCACATAACATAGGAGCTGCAGGATGATAAAATAACAGTAATGATGGTCATCTGTTTGCCACTGATGAGACCTGTAGTTCAGTGTCAGTTGTGAAGGAAGTCAGACAAAAAAGTTAAGCATTCTGATGTCACCACAAGAAGTAGCTGTGACCCAGGGTAAGTGGTCAAAGTACTATCAGTCCCAACTGACTACAAAATGCCATGTTTGTTCTCAATATGGAATGAGTGCCCAAAAACAGAAACACCTGTAATCCACCCCATCACTGAATACTGCTCAACTTACTTCCTTGTCCCTGCCAAGTTCATGATCTGATAACTCCCAAATCATTGTACCCAGAGGATATAAAGTCAGTCCCATGTTCCCTGACCTACATGGAGGCTGATGTGAAAGCTGCAGTGAGTTGCATATCCACACCACTTATAACAACAGCCAGATAATGTTCAGCTGCTGTTTGTAAAATTAATATTACCTGCATATTTCACACATTTCTTTATAGCCATTATCTACTGCATACTTCTAGAATATCCATTTTGACTTACTTATTTTGTCATTTATTCTTACTGTTTATCTATCAAAATTATCTATGACTGTAAGGTATATTAAAAATAATACATATTGTAAATAAAATGTGTAATGAATTACTAAGATTAATATGATAAAGTTTACATAAGATTCTACATACATTCTCACTCTCTCCAATTTTAACAATAATGCATTATTTGGCATGCTATGAGATTTAACTGAAAACCAACTCCACAGAACAGTCCTTGAGAACCCAACATTATGCTTGGTTAGTTAGCAAAACTGTCTTTTAAGGAACCCAAACATTCAGAACCACGGTTAAACAGTCCACGGACAGAAAATATTTTTAGAAAAAGGAATCCAATCCACATACCCCCTGATCCATTTTAATATTATCCTTCCATCTACGACTAAGCTTTCTGAGAGGTCTCTTCCCTTCAGCCTTTCCAATCAAAATTCTGTCCGTGTTTCCCATCTCCCCCACACAAGTTACTGGCCCCACCTTGGTCATCCTAATATCTAGGATGAGTGTAAACTATGGAGCTCATCATTATGTAGTGCTCTCCATCCCCCCCAGTCACGTCATTGCTCCTAGATCCAAAGAATCTCCTAAGCACTCTGTTCTGAAATATATCCTACATGTGTTTTTATTTTAATGTGAGAAACACAGTTTCATACTCATAAAAACAACAGGTAATATTATAGTTCTGTATATTTTAATCTTTACATTTTTCAGACAGCAGATGGTAAAACAAAACATCCTGTACTGCATGGTAGTAAGCATTCCCTCAAAATTAGTCTGCTCTTTAATTCTGTGTGAATCCAATTTTGATTTGAAATTTGTCATATTTTTTCAAGGGGTTCACTTGCTACCTTCATTTTGTCCTGTAGTTTCCTAAAGAGACATGAACACATAATGATATTAATTTTCTCTCAGTCAGTTGTGGATCATCTTCCCCACTAGCATGTGATAGAGCTGTGTTTTTCTTAATGATATTCACGTTTCCACCATATATATGAATGTCATCACAAATCAGAAGCTGATGTGCCCATTAAAATCCAACCCCTTTTTTTTGCACCTTCCTGATTGCATATTCTAAAGCAAAGTTGAAAAGCAATGGTGATAAAGCATCACTTTCAGGCTATTCTGTATTGGAAATGCACCAGTTTACTTACACAGGGATGGCCATAAGTCACCATTAGATGGTACAGAATTAATAACACATAAATAGTGGTTTAGTATGGAAATAGTTTAATTCCAAAGGAAAATAAGACTGATTATCAGTACATATAATAGAATTAACAGATGCCACACCACTCACTACATAGCACTAACCCATCAAACTGATTGGTATGGTTACTAACAGCATCAACACACAACTGCTTTTGTTGTCACGAATGCCAGGCCTGTCAGAGCATTACTGGTGTAATGGTGTAAAAATATGGCGAACCTCACCTTTTGACCCAGCAAAAAGTTCACGCAAATTGTGCTGAGGTGTTCTTTTACAAAAGACAACTACCAGTTGACACACATGGTCAGGTCAGTACTTCTGGAAGGCCAGAAAAGCATGCATGTCAGCAGCATAATAGCATACCAGGCTGGTGCTCCACCTAGTTGCAAAATCACAGTGTTCAGAAGGCCTGCAATATCAAGTTCTGGAAATAGCCAATGGGACAATAGCTACAGATAACTTCCACCAGTCAGACATGTGAAATAAATATGTTCACATCATAATATGAGATGGATAATCTACTACTCTACTCTACTCTACTCTGCTAGGCCTTCAAAGAAATGTGAACTTTATTTAGCTCAAATATAAATTTTGAGATTTTTTGCTGAGGTTTACTACATTCATCAGTGAACATAACACTGGAAAAGTACAATGGAATACAACTGTGCATGCCCACTGCCACACATCCATGTCACGATCACTAATTCACTGAAAATTTAGGCTGATACTTATGGCAGCCTTCCTTCCTCTTCAAAGGCAACGTGGAAGTTCTTGGACCATGGAATACTGCAGATCATTTCTTCATGAATGTTATGGGCAATCAAACAACTGGTTCTTCCAAACGAACACTGACATCTGCATCCACATATTTCTGCGGTCTTCCTCTTCACTTCCCATCTAACATGGAACCAGACAGGATCTTTCTCCAATTTACATAAATTAGCCTCAGTTGGCACAGCTTTATTAGAACTGTAACCACTCATAAAAGCATCAGTTGATTTTGTTCATTTAATTTGCATATACAGACTTATTACCTTACAAAACTTTACAATTTTGATATCAACCATATAATTTGATTAATTTCAGTATTAATTTACATGATAGTATCAGCATTCATACAGTTTCATATTCTAAACTGTTGCCTTTGGTATGTTCAATTTGTGAGGTTTGTAAAGCCATACTTAGCAACAGAAGTGGCACATCCACTCCTAGTGACAATTTCACCCCAACTGTTATATGAGAAAGAAATTAATGTAGAGAATTGTTTTGCTGTTTGAAGTTTATTATTGTATACTTTTAGTGAAATTTGTATTTTACTGCATTCCTTACTATTTAGGGAGTTGGAAAAATCACGAGACAAAGTGTTTCACATGTGTAACAAATCTTTCTCTTTTCTTAAAGGCAGCTTGTCACCAAACCCAGGGCCTAACCAAGAGGTGATCTTGTTACATATGTTTTGCTTTCTGTCACAAGTCTGTTAACCAACCAGGAGTAAAAAATTTACTGCGAATTTATCCTGTTCCTAAGTTGTAATGTTGACAGGAAACATTCACAAAACTCCCATTATATTTCAAGTTGTTTCAATCTTTAAAGTAGCTGCAATGCCAACACAGCTCCATTTCACTTTATTTAATTAGAAACTGTTTCAAAATTATAATCTGAAAGAAAATGCCACAAGGTGCAAAAGATATATACATACACGGTGTAACTGTAACAAACTTAAATCGATCTTGTGATAGTGACCAAAGTAATGTGTTGTAAAAAATGTGTGTGTGTTTTGTTCAGTGACGTTCTCTAGAAGATATCTCATAACTTATTTTACCAGCTAGCTACAAATAGGCCATGAGCATTTCTAGAGTTAAAATTTCATCTTACTGGACCAACGAAAGCAAATCTTGAATTAACTTTATGACACCCCAACCTATTCATTCCTTTATTATTACTTTACTTGATCTCACATAATATTATCTACCAACAACTATGACCATAATACAATCAATCACAAGCTAGCAAACACTCCATAAGAATAAAGTGGAGAGTAGCAGTTGCAAAACATAACATGAAGTTCACTCTTATTTCATCCTACTTTTGGCCATTTCTTTCTGCAAATCCACTCTCTCACTTGTCAGTTGTGAGTCAACTTGTATCCACCATGGATGTTATAACATTAAAACATAAAAAATACAACTGTAATAGCACACTCATGGAAGGAAAATCCCCCACAAAACTGGGAATCCCAGCCATGGAGCAAAGTCTTGACACCCCTCATGTTCACCACAATGTAATGAATATCTTCTCTTGCTTTATTCACCAATGATGAATATATTATTATGCTTTACAGACCATCTGATCATGACTTATGGCCATTTAAACACACTTTCATCAGTCTAATTAGTTTTAGTGGTATACCAAATTAAGTGAGAATGTTGTATATAATACTAAACCTTCTAACTTAATCATGCTTTCTAGAAGTAAATAAATAGCTGATGCACCATCCCACTACATTCCCAATTTTTTTCCATTACCTGATCAATTACATCAAATTCTACATTGACGATCCCAAGTAATCTTGTCCATGTAAGGAGTTAACTTGACAGAAGAATACTGGATAAAATTTTATGTATAGCTGATAATAGTGTGAGACAATTACTGATCACACAGTGGGTTCTCACTCAAGACAGATCAATTGCATATTAATGCAGCTGAATTTACAAATACCATTATAATCAGTTATCCTTGTTCACTGCAACAGAAAACTCTAAAACAGTATCAAAGGAAATATGTGTCCTCTAATAATTTTCATTTTTGTCTTCCAGTCTGTCTCCTAGTCACACAACCACTTCACAGGCACTGAACACGATACTATATGGACTGCTGTGCTGCTACTAGTTACAATGATTCTGTCAGTCAACTGCCTGTGTCACTGTTATTCCACTAATTGGGTGTCCACTGCTTACATTGGGCTGGAATCAGATACATCACTAACTCAACAATATTGCTCTCCAGGCTGCCACAAGTTCACCTTTTCTAAAAGATTCTTCATTACAAGTATAATTAATAACTTTGCTGTTCAGAGAGCATATTTATCACCTCCAGTTTGCATTAATCTGGCCAGAGTATTGTGAATACCTGAAAACTTACACCCTTTAACTTCTCAACAGCAATCTTGGCCTTAAAGAACTGGGCAAGACAAACAGTTCAGCTGTTTGCCTAACATCAATGCATTCAATAGCTGACAAAGGAATTTTTCCTACCCAAAATTCTATGGAAATATGCAGGCAGATCACCATTCTTGACTTTTACCAAAGCTGGTAACCCTCCTTAAATTCATTTATGCCTCTGAATGTGTCTAATATTTTTGTTTTTATTGTTTGTTTCAAGCCCATTAATTTTGTCTCTCAGACATTCTTCATTCTTGTTCCAGAAGTTCTATCTTCATGTCTTACATTGTCAATATTATCTCTATTCATGTGGCTTGGATTCTTTAAGCCACTGCAATTCAGTCTGCTTCCTTTTACCCAATAATTTTTTTTATATTTATCAATGGGGTATACTGCTTTAACTTAGACTCTCTTTGGCTGAAATTTTGATACTGTCTCTCATATATATATTTCTTTTAACCTTACTGATGTCCACATTATCACTGAAGTTCTCCAAAGCTGCAAACCTATTTCAGATTGACCTGACACTGTTCCTTAAATATATCCACATCACACTTTTGTGTTATTTTTTTTCCCCTTAGTAATAGTCTGTCCCCATTCTTTGCAACTACCAAATATATTGGCATTAACACAGTCAGCTCTCTAAAACACCTACCATTAAGTATTCCTGACCGCCATTTTATATCAATCTCACTGTGCACCTCCATCATTAGTACAAGGATATTCATGAATTTTGTGATGTGCAAACATTGTCCTTGAAATTTAGACTTTTTAATGCAATAAAATGTACTACTCTAATCACACTGTCATTACTAACATTGTGCAAATTATGATTCACAACTGTTGGCTTGAAGGTATCTTCCCTCCCCAGCACCATCTTGAAATCTCCTAACAAAATGTTTCAAGTATAATGATTGTTTACTGTTTGAACACTGCCTGGCAAATTATTATTAATTAATGGACACATTTCCTAATTGTCCCATGCCAAACAAACAATATCTTGTGTGGTGAACCATTTCCATGAAACGGAAAACATGCAGGGCAGAAACTGTTCCAGTGGACCATTAGCATGAAGTGACAATTGTCTGCATAATGTGGACATTTCTGACACTTAACATAATACTGTTTCATGTTTTCTGATTTGAATGAATTTTTTTTACAAAAAGAATGTGTCAGGAATGAGTTGTGCAACTTTCTTATCACCGTTCATTATATATGGCATCCTAACATAAAGAGTCTCTAACCTATTAACTGCTGATGTGATTTCCTTAAACATGAAAAAGCTTGTCATTTAAGTGATGATTATCATACACATATTCATTGAAAAATGTATAGAGGCGCTATAAATTATTCATCACATTTCAAACATACATACAAAACAAAGTATACGACATACTGAGAAACAGTTTGCACTGTTTTAACAGCTCAAGGAGTTTTGTGGAAGTTCACTGTACAGCCAATATTGGTGCTGCTGAATGAACCCTGCCGGAGAACATAAAATGCTGTCAACACAACTAATATAATGTGTGTGTTGTGATACAGGTTGATGAAGTCTGTGATTAAGTCCCAAGACATCACATGGAATATGGAAAACAGGTTATTAAGCAATGGCAAAACAGTTCATGGGGACTGGCAGGCCTACAGCATACGCTGACAAAATGCACACGGTTCATGAGACTTTTTCAGCACAGCCCAAGGAAATCCACTCATTATGCTAGCACTGAATTGAACATTCCCCATTAACTGTGCAGAAGATTCACCATAGTTGTTTAAAGCTGCATGCTTTCAAAAACCAGACAATGCCAACAATGAGACAGGACGATTGACATCCATTAAAACTCTTCCAAAACTCAATCAGCTGTTCTTTCAAACAAGGCAAAACATTTCTAACTATCTCTTATACTTTGTTTTATATGTATGTTACAAATATGGTGAATAATTTATAGCCACTCTACATAAATATCTGCTGGTTCAGTGCCAAACTTGTCCTACCTGATCACCTTTACTCTCATTAAACACATCTTATACTTTGCTAATGCATTCCATTAAATGTTGAACTGTATATTAACGTATCACCACTTGGAAAAGAACTAAGAAATGTTGATATACTACAAGCATATAATTCCACATGCCTTATGTGGCAAAGTCAGAGTTTTCAAAACTTATGCACAACACACAGTGTACTGCAGCTTGCAACATAAACATTACTAATGAGACATAAACAATCCACAAGTCAAGCTCAACTGTGGTATGATGAAGAACTGTATTCCTTGAATTTTGAAAAGAATTAAGTTCTGTGCTGTTCAATGACTGATGTCTTGGTTATGATTATTACATGACTGTGTTAGGTCTAAACTAAACTAATGTATAGCACTGCACAAATAGAGGATTAAAATACAATTCCACATTCAGTGTACGATACAAAGAATGTAACTAAAATGCATAGCTTACCTTCAATTGTGTGTTCAGTAGGATTTCCTAAATTAACAGGGAGAGTATAATTGGAAGCCATAAGTGCAATCAGCCCATCTACAAGATCAGAAACATACTGGAAAGATCGTGTCTGCTTTCCATGACCATAAATCTGCAATGAATAGTCACTTCTAAACAGCTGCCCCAGACAGTAACAAGAACAGAAGCAAATAAAACACCCAGAGAGCTGCTAAAAAGTATAAGATCCAAAATAGAAGAGGGAAGAGAGACAGACTGAGAGAAAGCAGGAGATAATATGCACTGGAGCTCTCTCTAGCTCTGATTAAGTCCACAATTTTTTTCAGATTCAATTTATTTCAGTGCTTGACAAGAGGAAAACAGGATATAATACAAGTAGAACCACAGATCAATACAGAAATAGGGACTGACTTGACAAAATAAAACCTAAAGCTTCTGGACAAAAGAACTTGCCAGATTTCAAATTCTCACAGCGGTATGTAATAGCTGCCTACTGGGTTGTTTCACCGTTATCTAGTACAAGATTGCCAACATATCAGAGGTGCTTGCAGCCTCCATCATCAGGGCAATGACCCTGACGATGATTGTACCAAGTGCCTCTGAAACATCAGTCAATTAAGATACCAAGATATGTTTCATAATTGCGGGTGATGATCACCCTAATGGTGGAGGCAGCAAGCACTTTTGAAACACAGACTACTTGGCACAACCACCTAGAAGACAGCCACCTTCATGGTAAACATTAATTATTGCATCACTAAGAGTGAAGAAGTTAGGAAATATATGCACATTATAACTGTGACACAATTGCCACAATTTGACCTTTGATACTTGCAAATGGTGCAAGTGATATCCAAGCTGTTTGGGGGACAATGGCCTTTGTGCATGCTTGGTGTCTGATGCCTATCTAGTTGGGTGACAAAGGTCATCCCAGGGGACACATGCACATGATTGTATGGCTGCAGTAGATTTTAAACCCAGTTACTTCCACAACCAAAAATTTACATATCTTCATGTAAAATGCCCATAATTTTCTTCAATTTTAACAATTAAAAAAAAAGAGAATGTGTTGCCAAATTTTGTTAGCATTCACCTAAGAACCTAAACTCACTGCACATACTCAGCTCCCTCTCTCCCACACAGCATACAGCCACGTAGCACTGTGTTCAGTCTAACAGCAGTGGAAATCTTGTGAATATTTATTTATTTATAGTTTACTTAACTATGCTTTTTCAGTATATAATATTATATAGTAGTGAATGAGAGGATGATAGTAAATAATGAATGGGAAAGGATGTGGAAGGAAGCGGTCGTGACCTAATTTTAGGTACTATCTTGGCATCTGCCAGGAGGGACTGAGGAAAACCACAAAACCCCAGTCAGGACAACCGGTCTCCAACCAAGATCTGAATTCGGGACCTCTCAAATACAAAGCAGGAGAGTTAATCACCTGACCATGATGTCCAATGAAATCTTCTGAACTCTGGAACAAAACTGTGGTGCACAAAACAAGAATACATACTGCAGTGCACTGAGGCACATTTGTAGACACCTCATCTGTTACATTTTAGAAACTAAAGATCAAAATTAAAATGTTACCCTAATCACCTCTAATATGGCATACTCCCCTTTCTCTTTATATAAGAAAATGGTTTCACAGTGTCCATGAGTCAGCACCACAAACACAGGATTTTGAGGTCATGTTTCTACTGTTCATAATGTACTTGGGAGCCACATATGAATGACTGAATAAAAGACAAGCATGTATATGGATAATTATATACAGCAACCAGAATCATCATAAGATTTTGAGGTCATGTAAATGTCTGCAATCTGAACTCATCAAAAGACATGAATGGGTTAAAAGATTTACCGAAAGTTACATTTCGCACATGGCAATATTTTGGAGAGCCCTTGTTTAGTCAGTTCAACTGTGCCATATTTTGGAATTCTGCCACTTGAGGGAAACTTTGCTTGGGCCACAATGCAACGTCAACCATGATATGTCATCTTATTGTATCAGTGAGTTATGTAAAAAATATACTTATTTACTTTGTCAGTTCAGCTAGCATGTTCTTGTGCTGTTACTTTAATTTTGTGTTGACCCATAGACCTGCTTTCCTTGACACAAAAATTGGCTGCACTGTGGGGTTAGCTTATTTATATGCGAGATCCATTAGGACTGTGTATGGTGGGCCCAGATTAAGCACAGTCAAATCAGTCAGTATAGAACAGGCCTGTTAATTTTCCTTGTGAATTACCTTTTTATTAGTACTGTCAGGGTAATGAACCTAATAACTTGTAGAGAGATGAGCTCAAATGTGAGTTGTGTTGTTCATAGGATCTCCTGTTACCAGAGAATTTCTTCTTTCAGTTTTATGTTATAATTTTTCTTTGCACACTTTATGTTCAGGAAGAACAGTCAGGGGTTGTTGGCCCAGATTTTTCTCAACTTTTTGGTGATCAGCATTAATGACTGGAGGGAATTATTGCTCATCTTCTGGAAGTGCTGACTAATCACTTGGGGCTCGCTCATTTAATTGAGTACCATATCTGCTTATAGATACCAGACCAGTTAGGTCTGCACCTTATAGGTTAGCACATTAAACACACCAAGCATATTAGCAACATCTAGTGTTAGTGTTACTGAGCTCTCAAGTCAGATGTTTTTGGTATGTAAGCCTGATTATTCACATAGGGCCATCACAGATTACCACAGTCTTAATAAGCACATTGAAGTAGAATATGTGCCCTTGCCAAACACCCACTTAGCTTCCCACTAATTTTGTATGACCAAATATTTACCACCCTACATTTGAATCTGGCATACCATCAGATGCCCCTATCTGAACAATCTAACCCTTTACCCACTTTTTGTACCAACTATTCAACTATCTATACCAATGTCATCGGGTACCCTGTGGAATAGCCACGGGCACCCAAGTCCTTACACATCTGCTGGACATTACCTTTAATGACAATAAGCTTAAATTTGGTCATTTGTAGTTCCAATTTTGACCAACATCTTGAAAATGTTGCTCAGGTCTTGGCCAGACTGCGTTTCACCATAAAATCTTTCAAAATTCTTTGCCATACAGGATATTTCTTTCTTTGGCCACTGTATATCGCCTCTTGGGCATTTCCACCGACCCACAGCAAACTTGGGCTATCTGTAATTTCCCTCACCCAAGTGATGTAGAAGGCACTGCACAGTTCAGTGTGGTGGTTAATTTCTACCACACATTTGGCTGCCCCCTTAATGCATTTAGGAAGAAAGAAGTAAAATTTGTGTGATGAAAGGATCAGCAAACCACTTTCAATAAAATGAAGGAGGCAATCTCACAACCTCCTATGTTACACATGGCTGATTTCCTAAACCTTTTATTTTGCAAAGAGATGGAATGGTGTCATGTTGACAGGCATTTTGTTGCAAGATTTCAATGCCAGTCAACAACCAACAGCATATGCCACACACTTTGAGCTACAAGAGGTGCAAGCCATTTTCCATTCATACACTCAAATTTTTTGGCTGTACTGTTTGGTACAGACAAATTTCGGTACAACCTCGAGCATGATGAATTCCATCTAGAAACTGATGACCAAGCATTATCAAGGCTCATCTCATCCTCACCAATTAGGTAAAATTGGATGCTGGGTCATTAAGAATTGCTCACTAAAGTTCAGAGACCAATACCCAAAATCTTGCAGGTGCACTGTCCCAAATGCTCAATGCGCCCCAATTTAAGTAATCTTCAGCATCAAGCCACATGCTGTTAACTAAATTTCCTCTCACTTTTTATGATCTCACTATATGCTATATCACAAGGATCCTGAGTTATCACAGCTCATTGAGAGATTGGAAAGAAAGAAGCAAGACCCTATATAACAGGGTGTTACACTGCAGGTCTACATTCCACAGCATAGGGAAGGTCATGGTACTTCGATTACTATAATACTTCACCAATGGGTGGACACAAAGACATTCAAAAGATTCAAGAAAACTTCATTTGCAAAGGCATGGATAATGACATCCGCATGTGTCTAAGGTGTTGCATTGTGTCAGATGAGTAAACCAGCCCCAAACTCTCTCATTTTAAATTGTTAGCACCATAAGTTGCTGCCTATCCTTTTCAGAAAATTTCCTTGACTGTGTAGGCAAGTAAAGCAGAAAACATGATGTTTGTCTGCATGGACTCATTTTAAAAATTTATCTGGCTAGCTCGAGGACATGAGTTCAGTGATGATTAGAGTTTTGAAAGATCAGGTCTTTGTTAAGTTTTCTGTTCCATGTGTTCTTGTTTAAAATATTGCCAGATGTCTCATTTGCCATGAGTTTTTACATATTGCTTTCATCTGAGTGTCAAGAATGTTAGCAATGAGCATTTTAACCACAATTTGTGCTCTGAACTGATTGCTTACTACAGTAATTCTCAGATGTCCTGAAAGAAAGGACTGATGTACTTGCACTTGGCCTTTAATACACCAAGCATGAATCCAGACAAGCGACCGCCTTTTGAGGTGATGTTCCCCTTCTGTGAGGGTTCACACCTACACAAGTGGAGCATTAATCAATTGTTACCCAGTGCATATATACTAAATCCAGTCTCCAGAAGGTGGTTCAGAGTCACTAGCGTACAGCCCAGAACTACATTAATGAAGGATTCCTCAACCTTTAAAAGCTAGAGACTGTTTTTTGACAGAACTAGACCTTGAGTGATGCTTCACAGAGAATTGTGATGAAGCTGTGTCTGCATTGGCATGACCCTTTCTAGTTGCAGTCTTTCTTTACACCAGTTATACTGAGATTCGATAAGCCCAATTTTGGCAAGACCATTCATTACCCAGGTCCATCTCTCACATCTGAAACTTGCTGCATGAGTAATGTTACTGAGTTATCCCCACCTGCCTTAGTTTACTTAGTTCCTGTATGCTCTGCATATATGCAAGTTAATTATGCTTAAATATGGCCATATTACTTCATATAAAGAGGATATAATTATGTTAATCAGCAATGATTTAGCAGGAGTTCTTTGCCATGTTTAATATGTATAATTCTGTTACATGCCTCACAGACTACCCTAGAAATGAGTCATAGTTTGTGCAATATGTTTTAAGCAGCTGCATAATTGTCTCTGCTATAGATTGTTAATATTAATTTGGTGAAACAATGTTACTGTGGTATGGAAGGCCAAAGTTTGCTTTGATGATACATTACTCTTTCAACAAGAAAAATGGTTACTGGCTGTTCAGAAATTTTTTGGCCTGCTTTGGGGAGTTTCAGTCATTCAGGCCTGCCACTCTTCCACTTCTCCTTCTTAGCGCAAGCCCTGTATGGAGGCTTGGCTTAAGGTGATCAAGAATGTGGCAGCCTCTCTGATGGTCTTATTTCTGGAGTGACATCAACACCATACACCAATTGGAAGGAACCCTTTTCTGACTGTCCCCGGACATTCTCCATTCCAAGAAGCCTGTGATCGCTGATTCTGTCACGTGCCTATTTAACCAACAGCTTGTTTTCACCCAGTAGGAGACCTGCTCTTCTTATACCTTGTAGAGTAGGATCTGTATGGACCTTTCTCACCATTTATTCTTGATGCTACTGCACAAACAAGGGATTTAATGGAGTTGATTTGGTGTGTGATGAAGAGTATATCAGTCATGACGCCAGATGAACTGACAAGGAGGCCCTGAACCTTGTTTGTGGGGAGAGGTTGTGCCGTGTATCAAATTTCCACCACTTGAGTGTGCCTCCATCATGTGGCCATCTGCTTCTGGATTGTGCATGCAAGCATGTGTGCTCTTCCACCTTTCCCCTCTCCCTTTCTCATTTTTCAGGTTGTGGGGTGACTATATGCTCACCCTGATTATGTTCCCACAATCCACCCTGTTAGCATTAATAATTTTATCTGGCCTGGATATTTCAAAATCATCATTTTGGCTTGGTCAGAATTTTGGTGGTATGGGATCCATGATGTCCAGAATATTTAATTATGTTCAATATTGGGTGATTTTGGGCCACAGTGTGGATGCCAAGTTGTTTTTAGGCTTATTTAGGACTTTTCAGTTTTTGGTGTTTTGGACCAAAGATTATTTTTCTTTCTTATTGTATCAGTGGGTTACATAAGATGTTCAATTATTTACTTTGTCATCTCAGCTTCCATGTTATTGTGCTATTAGTTTGATTTCCTGTGTTGACCCATGGACCTGTTTTCTTTTGGCACACATTATGTACAAACCTAATGAAGAGGAACTGCACTGTACCATCGGCACAAACGAGTGAAAAATATGAAGCATACTGTTACAGGCTATACAAGAGTGCCAGGCCACTTCAAAACAAGAATGGAATGGTGTGCTCCAATGGAGTACACAGAATTTAGAAAAAAACCTTTTCTTTGTTACTCTGCATCTCACTGTCTATGATGATCATTCACTGTTAATCACCACCACACTATATAATCACAAATAACATTTCCTCATATGGTACTTCATTAAATGTAATAAAATCCTGTCAGGTGATCAGCCAAGTCAATGCTGACTCAAAATACAATGTTTCAGAGAGTAGCTCTGTCTCCAGCATCACTGACCCTGATGACAGAGACAGGCAGAGCTAGTCTCTGAAATGTTGGTATTTGACTGAACAATGATGTGGGTGATCACCCGATAGTTTTTATAACTTTCATGTGCTGTAAAAGTCTTAAACCTTACACATTTCATTAAATATTCACCATATCAAAATATGTTTCAAATAAAAGCTATTATCAACTTCCATAATGCATGCCATATCCAAAACTTGTAAGCAATGAACCACTTTAAAAACTTTTTATATGAGTTTCACATAAACTAGAGGTTATACTGGACAACCACAATCAAAATTTAAATTGACAACACAAATCTTAGTGTATAAACCAACTTAGGACAAAATTGGTTAAGAGATGAGAATGGTGATGCGCTTCCAGATCCCCACAGTATTCTGAACAGGTGGAAGAATTTACTTTTGGCAGCTAATGGCTGTACATAGGATTAAAGATGTTTGGCAGACAGAAATATATACAGGCAAGCCATTAGAGCCTCAGCATTCATCTTTTGATGTCGAGATTGCTATGGAGAAGTTGAAAAGATGTAAAGTGCCAAACACTGATCAAAGTATGACAGAAATGATCTACAAAGGAGGTATACAATACAATCTGAGATCAACAAATATATTTATTGTGTTTGAAATAAGAAAGAATTGCCACAGCAGTGGTAAGAATGTACTGTTTTACCTAGTCATCAGAAGGGTAATAAAAGTAACTAGTAATTATCAAGGAATATCACTGTTACCAACTACACAAATTGTTTCCAACATCCTTGTGTGCAGAAGAAATTACAGCGGATCATCAGTGTGGATTCTGATGTAATGTATTCATCATGTACTATTTCTGCAATGGGGAAAAATGGGAGTGTAATGGGACAGATCAACTACTGGCTTTAAGAAAGACTGAGATTTGGTTAGGAGATTTGAAGTGAATGAGATACATCTGATTTATGTGGTGATGTTAATTTATTGGGAAAAAACATAAATATCATAAAGAAAAACACACTTCTATTGCTTGTAAGGAAATTCTTCTAGAAGTAAACGCAGAAAAATATATAAGTAATGTTATATGTTCATCACCAGACTACAGAACATCACATTATAAAGGTAACCAATAAATTCTTCGAAAAATGTGATAAAGTTTAAATATGCAGAAATAACAGTACTGAGTTAAAATTGTATTCTAGAATGAATTAAGAGCAGAATAACTTTTAGCAATGCATGCTACCATGTACTTCAGAATCTTTTGTCTTACCATCTGCCATCTGCAACTGTGAAGATTAAAATATACACAACTGTAATTTCACCAGTTATTCTGCATGAGTGTGCAGCTTCATTTCTCATGTTAAGGGAAGAACACAGATTGAGGGTGTTTAAAAACAAGGTGCTTAGGAGAATATTTGGGCCTAGAATGCATGAAGTGATTGGAGGCTGGAGAAAGATGCATTAAGAAGAGCTCCATTATTTGTATTCCTCCCCAAATATTATAACGATCAAGTCACAGAAGATTAGATGGGTAGAACATGCAACACAGAAAAGGGAGATGATAAATGTGTAGAAGATTTTCATTGGCCAGCTTGAAGAGACCACTCAGAAGACCTACTGAACCACAGGGAAACGGTTGCAGAATGTGAATTTGATTCATTTGACTCAAGGTAGGAACCAATGGTAGACTAATAAGTCTATGGGTTCCACAAAGGCAGTGAATTTTTTGACTAGTTATGAAGGGCTCTGCTCTATGGAGTTAGTCATGCAAAGAACACACATAAATTAGTAACACTCAGAAAAGAGGTGTTAATAATGTTTTGTATGGTCATGCTATTCCTCTACATGGAATAGTAAACCAGAACATCAGCATCTTCCAGATCTGATTGGCTCATAAACCCAGATGCTGTCAGAGAAATGATCCTGACAAAATGCTGTGAGGTACAGCTTTGAGCTAATGTTAGGTCAATTTAATTTGACACATACTGTTTTAATCCAAAGAAATACTGACCCCTATCTAGTGATGAGATTATGAATGCATGGGGTTTACATTCACTTCCCCTTCCATCTTCATGATAACAGTGCTTGGACAGAGACAACTTAAATTTGTTCCCAAAGAAACATATAAGATATTCTTACTGTAATTGGTTCATTCTTCAGAGCTTGTAATATGAAGTTTGAAACAACTCGACCATCATTCATATGCATTCTTGGACCAAATGTGTTGAAAATTCTTGCTACTCTGACATCAACTTTTTCTTGTTTAGCGTAGGCATAGCTCAAAGTCTCTGCTACACGTTTGCCCTCATCATAGCAAGCTCTTGGACCTGGAAACAGTTACATGTGCACTGAGAACTTAGAAATAACGGTACTCTTCCCAAAACAAAATGCAGTTCCAGGTAGCTGCTACTTAGCACTGTAAAACATTCATGGATGAAAAACATGATTTGTAGTTCAGCAGTCTTCAGATCGAAAACAAGCTTCGAGGAAGCATTGTGATGACACATGGCTAATAACGTAAGCAACTACAGTTCAGTTCATATGTCATATACACACTGGAGGTTGCTGAATGCATAAAATAGTTTAAGCTTGTGGCTTGGGTTCCAGCCACATACACAAACACGCATTTTTTCCCCGCACACTGAGGGAGGAAACTCAGCACTAAATGCTGGCTGACACATGATGTTGTTAGATACAAAATGGTTTCCGATGAGAATGGCAGACCACAACTTTGTTCTGAAGGACTCTGTAACACAGAACTAATGGAAACCAAAGTTATCTCAATCAATACAGATGGTCTCAGGATAAAGTCTTTGAACTCAAGACCTCATGTGATGAAGAATCTGCAATGATATGTTGTACAACAATATATTCAAACCTAGATCAGAAACACTGTACTGCATCCATCCATGTCTTTGGTTCTTATACACCTCATGCTTCATTCCTTTGAAATGCTTTCATCACCACGCACTTCTATGTCTTTTTTGTATTAAAGTGCCATATGATGTGCAAAGTGCAGTCATGTTGATGACAAAATAATAGAAAGAACTGTTGTAGAGTACATGTATCTATTATCTTACACAGCAGTCATTATAATCTCATATATGGAACAAAACACACGATTGTTAGTTTGAACTTCCTTTTTCTCTACAATTTCATCAATGGCAATGTCCAGGGTAAAAAATATGCTGAACTGTATACCCTTACTGAATTCTGTTCAAACACCAATGAAACCAAAGGACATTGTTCTTTGTTCGTGCACATCTTTTCTTTCACTTGACACTGCCCTTTTCCCATGACAGACAAAATGCAAATAACCCTGATTGTATACTACATACCTTCATCTGTATAATACTTTCCTTACTGTGAAGAGCCTGGTGACTGTATTCAAACAAAAGAATCTTTGCATACATTGTTAGTGTGAGGAAAACTTTCATTAATAATAATCCACTAAACCTGTCACTGTATGCAGCTTGTTTTGGGCAATGTTTCCATTTTCAAATCAATGCCCCTGCCAGAAGCAGGATCATTTACTGAACTGCCTGAATTTAGAACATTGCCATTTACACTAGTAACTACCAACCAATAATCCAACATGCTCCCAAAGTCACTATGAGCTGGTTTCTTACCTGAGTAGTTTCATTTAACGCAGACATGCTGCTGCACAGTATCTTTACAAGGGATTCCATGGAAGTCTGAACAGCCAGTAGAAAAAAAAATGGTTTTACGGTGTATCAAACCTAAATAATGGTACAACTGTATTGCCACATGTTGGTGTTTTACCAAAGGATTCAATTTGAAATTACATATGAAATTTTTGTTCCAAAGCTTTCTTGGACATAAATTAAGAGTAGCAATATAGAGAAGAACTGTTAGTGTGGTTTGACTGTACTAGAAACTCATCACTTCTTTTATTTCACAATTATTACATTTTATCTTTCAATGCCCAACTTATTTTCAAAACTGTACATTTATGTAAACTGACATTTAATCCAAAATAGATGGGCATGTTAAAAATATATTAATTGTTGTAGGATTTGAAGTTTTCATGGTGGTGAGTCTGAAGATGGCTGTCTTCTGGGTTGTTGCGTGCCCCAATGATAGAGGCAGCAAGGACCTCTGAAACATCGGTAAACTTCTACCAGATTACAAGGTGCAACAACCCAGAAGACAGCCATCTTCATATCAATTGTTCATTAATATTACTTTTGCTCTAACATAAAGTGTAGCAATTTATTTCTTACCTATGGGATTAACATGACCCCAGTAACTCTCCGGTTGTGGATGCACTTCAGGATCCCCATACACTTCGGATGTGCTGGCAATCAACACTCTAGCTCCCACACGCTTAGCTAGACCTGTGCATATAATATTCATGTGTATATGATGGATTTTGCATACTTTATTGGCATTTATTGCAAATAAAATCAGTTGTTGCACAGAAAATCAAATAATTTTTATTGCATTCTGGTAACTATTTAGCTTACCAAAACAACATATTAAGTGCAGAAACAATAAGACTTATATCTTCTCTGGTCTACTAATTTCTCTATGACAAGCTATTTTTAAACAGTTTATTAAGTTTTACTTGTGCTTCATGCACAGTACAGGTTGTGACTGGGACATACCAAAATTTCATATGACCACCCCATTCCATACGAAACTTTACTCAAATCCATTGATTTGAAGATGAAACAAAGATGCAAACTCTTCAGTATGCATTCAATCAATCTGTACACTGAGTGCAAAAACTGCATAATAGAAATACCTGCCAAAACATCTTAACTTAGCTTTGCTTATGTAAAATTCTTGACATGAATAATCACACTTATTTGCATCCTGTTGTGGTTTGTACAAATGTACAAAATTCCATCACACATGGTTTTGGATTACAAAAAACCGTTGCATTTAAATTAAGATTTAAAAAATATATTGTGTTAATAATAACATGTTTTATGTCATAATTCAATGTAGAAATTTTGCTTCAGACATGGTACCAAAAGTGAAGATGGACTGAAACATGTTGCTCTAGAATAATGCTAATAAATGGAAAAGTGTGTGACGGAATTTTTTACCTTTGTAAATTATTCATGTGGAAATAATCAACAGCTTGTATACTGTGAAAAAGCACCTGACACAAACAGCCTACCATAATTAGAAGAACACAAAAGGCAGATGGACACAGAACATGTTAGGTACCACAATTTTGCAATGGACAATCAAACTCCACAGCACAGGTTTCTTGAAAGTTAATAGCTCAACTGTAAAAAATATCACATTCTTATGGAAATCAAAATGTCTCTGATGAGTTCAGTTTCAACACTTGAAAGCAAGATGATAACTACCACTGGTTTGCTGGTCTGATGCACCTTCACCTAAACTACTTCTTAGAGATGTCACCAGGCCTCTCAGCTATTCTGGCAGTGACAAAAACACTGAAAATATCATAATCATATCAAGATGGCATACTAACCTAACATGTTTATTGTGCCTACGGTGTTAGTTTTAATGGTTTTAACAGGGTTGTACATATAATGCGGCGGTGATGCTGGGCTTGCAAGGTGGTAGATTTCATCCACCTCTATATACAAAGGATTTACAATATCATGATGAATCAATTCAAAGTTCTCATGACCAATCCAGTGATCCACATTCTGTTTGCGTCCAGTAAAGAAGTTATCTGCCACTATGACTTCATGACCAGCCATCATCAATCTGTCCACAAGATGAGAGCCAACAAAACCTGCCCCACCTGTAACCTATAAAGAAACATACATTTTCAGACATGTGAGGACACACAGTTATACTTATGTGGTGATGTAGACATTAAAAAAGGGCCAAGTCAACAAATTCAATGGCCACCAACAGCAAAATATAGAATGGAAGAACCAAAACAATTGTGGCTGCAGGGAACTGAATGATCAGAAGTTACGGAACATGAAAATGGAGAACAGAGAACATATGTCATTCTGGCGGGCAGGTTTTTGCATAGGTAAGCTACAACCTAGGGTAGCAAATTCCAGGGGGTAGCAAAATTACTTTACTGAAATCATGTTGTATACATAAACACACACACACATTCCACTGTCCTCTTATCATATTATTTCACTCTTCATTCAATTCAGTTTTAGGTACCAATAAAGCCCTACTGCATGTGTAAAGCACACTGGAAGGCAACCAAAAGAACTTCAAATACTACAGGGCTTTTGATAGTGAAGAAGGTAATCTCGAATGCCTTCGCAACACTGTTCCCAGTCGTTGTTGTTTACATTTTCAATAATACAGGTATTACATTTCCTCTGTGATTCACATCAACATGACTGTTGTAAATCAGGCACATAAAACTCATTATCTACCATTCTAGCACCCAAGAAATTTTGGCCAGGCATAAATTTTGCACCACAACCAGCAGTGATCCTCACCCAACAATGGTAGAAAAAAATCAGAACTCTTACTTTATGAACCACGTGACACTCAGTGGCTCTCAAAAACCTTATACATCTTTCCTGTCCCAGCTGTGTTACAAATACATTATTTCACTCAATGAACACCGTCTCTTCAATAAATGATACAGTCCTGTGACCCTCATAAAAACCAACATGCTACTTAAAGGTAGAGGTAACTGTTCCAAGGTCATCAAATGGACGATGAAAATCATAACTGCCTACTTTTAGTAACTCCAAGCTTAAGCTATATTATTTAATCTTGTATTTTACCACATATACATACAAATCCGAATTTCATTGAAACACATTTTCAGTTTATGTAACTGAAATAAAAATCAGAGGAATACAAGCAACTCTTTGACACTTTAAAATGGATTAAAATTTAGATTACGGTGGCAGCACTTCAAGAGCAAACATATCTAACTGCTGAACAGCAAGAAAATACACCTCAGAACCACAACACGTTTGATACACAGCAACTAAACCTGACTAAAAGATCCAACATATTGGTTTCTAAATTGCTTTATCAGGGACTACATCCCAAAATATGGTGCCAATCAGAAAGTAACCGCTAATTTCACAAAATATAAACCTGTATAGTGACTAAACACATTAGCACTAATGAATGGAGAAACAAGGTCTTCAACTTGACTCATTTACTCAGAAAGTAGCAGCAGAGTATGCTGCGGACCATACTTCGCTTTCAACCATGAGCCACAATTAGGAACAAAAAGTTTCAATGATTGGAAAAATGATGGTAAACAAGCCATGAAACACGAAATATGGAAAGTTATATATCTTGTCACTGAATAACCTTACATTAGCTGTAGCTATTAACTCTTTTCATCTTGTTTATAATATATGCAATTCCTTCCTTTAATCAAACTGCATACACATTTACTCTAACTGCTATATTTTGGTTTTCCTTTGAATGTTGTTTTACTTGATTTGATAAATCCACAAGACATGTCCACTCAAGGGTAGCAAAACTTAAATCTGCCCTGATATCACTTTCACAAGTCAAAAAGTGAATAATCCACAGTCTAATATCACTTCAACAATAATATTTCTTCCAATTAGCTGTGAACCATCAGGAAAATGACTCTTATACACTAAACCTCATATTCTTTTAGACAAACATTTAACATTCAAGTAACAGGCAATTCAAACTGAAAACTGAAGGCCAATTTTTGGCCCCAAAGGGAGATTCAAGCACAGCATACAACCTCTGATTCATAACATTTTCAGTCAGTCCCACAGAATTAAAATAATTGTCAAATTGTTTTAATATTGGCACAAGGAAAATGTATGTACACAAATGTTATCAAGATAGATTTATGTAAATTATCAAAAGGTTAACAAAACCTCACTGCATACATAAAAGGAACAAAATCATGAAATGTGCACTGGACTACCTAACAAACACATACTATATTCAGACACTTACAAGAATGCGTTTTCTTGATCTGTAATTCAAATATTTCACGTCTGGATATCTCTGAGGAATTCTCTTCTCAAGATCCTTAATTTTTTTCTCCAGTTCTTTAATTTGCCTCTGTGCTCCTTGCAGGTTTTCACTGCCTGTATCTGGATACTGGGACATGGTTTGTTCCACAGCGTTGTATACCTTTCCTGATTTGTCATCATGATAACTGTACGATACCTTCTCCGTATAGGCCCAGCTTCTGTACAAGCACAGCACTAGAATATAAACAAACATACAACAATCTTTCCTGCACTGAAATGGCACTAAACAGAATATTTCAGCCCTTAATATCAATAAGATAAGAGGGTTGGTGGGTTCCAGATATTGTACCAAACATAACATTCCTGTTCCTGATATCAATTATATAAGAGGGACCTAGATGTGATACTGAACAGAACATTTCTGCTCCTAAATCAAACATATAAGGAGCTCAGCATTCATTAAATTCCAGCGTATGAGGGTGGGCTGAAAAGTAATTCCTCCTCTTAAATAAAACAAGAATGGGAAGGAAATTTAAATGAAGCAAAAACACATGCAAAGTTGAGAGTTTATTTTTCAAAATGACACATTATTGTTATACATAGTCACCTTCTACTTCAATACACTTACACCAATGATACACTACTTTTTTAAACTCGTTCTTGAAACAAAAACCACATGATCCTCCAACACGACAAAGCTAGACCTAACACCAGTGACCTACTGCTTACAAAATCCCAAGTGTACTTTTGAAAATGGCAAACTGGCAGGTAGTCATTACATAGCTGTGCATTGTGAGCAGGGAGGTCCTAAAATGCTGTCCAACTGTAGTCCACGCCATGATGAACGTGTTTTTGTTTCAGTATGGTGAACAAAGAAGGAAATAAAGATCTGATGAACAAAAGAAATAGGATACGAAGAACTGTCTTGATAAACAATGCTGCAGTTTGTCACCTGCTGTTAGAAAATATTTTTCTCAGAATATTTACACATTCAGTTCATACTTGAAAGAAAGCAAATCCCACAACAATTATAACAATCAAATAATCACAGTGTACTCTGAGAATCACACTAAACTGACAAATACACTGTGGGCAAACGCAGAATTAGTGATTTTTAAAGCAATGGTACAAAGCGTTCCCATTACACTTTAAAGGGTTAACAAGGAGGCAAATGCAATGATTCATGGCAAAAGTATATTATCACTGACTGCTGTTACCACATAGCTGCAGCTGCTCAGTGCTAGGCTAACAACTTAGGTAGCAGCAGTTTTGTGGTCGAACAGAAGAAATTCTCCCTGTAGCAGTGACTTAAGATTAGTTTTGGTAATATAATAAGGAATATTCAATCAATTTTCATATAAATTTCACTGGGGTTAAATATCCTCACTGGTTCTTCTGTTATGTGTAACAGATCTTTAATAGTGAGACACTCATTACTTCACAAAACCACATGCAATGCTGGTCTTCAGTTATCGTGGCCCTCAAGTCCTGATGAGAATGGAGGGAGAAAGGAGATGAGACAAGAATGGAGAGAAAAAAGAAGGAACAGTTCAAGCCCCATACATCATGCATATTACAGCATTTTTACTAATGATAAAAACTCCACCCCCTCCATACTTAACTTGCTGCTGAACTTTAAAACGTAAAACAAACAAAAGTACACAGAGTGACCATCAGACCTCTCTGAGCCTCTGTTAACAAAAACCAAACATACTGATGCCCATCTAAAATACAAAATAACAAATAAAAACCCACAATAAAGTTAATATAATATCAATCAATAGTGAAGTCACTTCAAATAACTAGTACACTTTATGGGACAAAAAATGTTCGACCGTATGTGTTTTTCAGAACAAAACTGTTTACCTCCAGTCAGACTCAAATATGCAAAACCTCTAAATCAGAACGCAAATGAACAACAGATCACAAAAAAAATTAAAGAAATAACTGCTACTCTTGCACTTTTAGCCTCATCAATGCACCACAAATAATCCAGTGATGTGAACAATAATACATATTATTACATTTTGTTCATTAGCAAAATGTTACTGGATTCCAAATGCTTTACAGACAAACAAGTACACATTCTCTTCTGAATATCACAATGTACATATTCCAGTAAGACAGAACAACACCAAGAAACCCAGAAAGAAGAACTCTGGAGTCTGAGAAAGCATTAAAATGTATGAGGAATAATAAAGCACCTGGTAAAGATGGGATCCAAGTACAGTCGATTAAGTATGGAAGCACAAAACTGAAAAAAGAGATATTTAAATTGGTAATGGAGATCTGGGAAAAGGAAGAAATGCTACAAGAGTGGAGGACTGCGGTGATTTTCCCCATACACAAAAAGGACAACAAGGCAGTCTGCAGCAACTACAGAGGCATATCATTGCTGAACATGACACATAAAGTTTTCTCCAAGATCTTGGCACAGAAATTAGAAGTGTACACAGAAAAACAATTAGGTGGTTACCAATGTTGATTTAGGAGAGACCGTTCAAAGACTGATCAGATTTTCTCTCTTAGAATGATCTTTGAAAACTGTTATGGGTTTAACATCAACCTACATTAGCTGTTCATGGTTTATAAGCAAATTTATGACAGTATTTGTATAAATAAGCTGTTTATGTTCCTCAGAGATCTAAAGGTACCTTTGAAGATAGTCAAATTGATAAAAATTACCCTAAGCAACACTACAGCAAAGGTCAAAATCCAAGGAAAGCTCTCAGAAGCATTCAAACAGAGAAGAGGAGTGAAACAAGGGGATGCCATTTCGGCTAACTTATTCAACTTGAGCCTTGAAGCAGCCATGAGGAGAATAACCATCAACCCAAGAGGAATGGTAATAAAATAATAAAACCATCCAATACATGGCCTTCACTGATAACATAGCTGTAGTAGGAATAACAGCAAACTACCTGAGAGAGAGTGTACAGCAGCTGGAAGAAGGATCAAAGTAGCTAGGTCCAAAAGGTAACCCAGGTAGACCAAGTAAATGATAAACACTAGAGATAAAAGTAGGCTTGAGAATGTTGCATGTGTCGAGATGGAAGAGGGACGCACTTTGAATGTGTAACAGAAGACAACAAAGTCGGAGTGGAAATCAAAGCCAGAATAGCGGCAGGCAATCAATGCTATTTTGCCTACCAGAAGCTTCTGAGATCCTCAAATGCCTCTGAAGCAGACCATATACTGTACCATCACAAGTGCAGCAGTGCTACAGGGTGCTGAGAAATGGACACTGACCAAGAGATGAAAATATGCTGCAGATCTGGGAGAGGAAAGTTCTATGAATAGTGCAGTCAAGGAAAATGGACAGTGGCAGATAAGAACTAACTGTGAACTCTACAGTCTCTATGAAGATCTAGACTTAGTGACAGAAATTAGGGAAAAAAGACTGTGTTGACTGGAACAAGTAGAGAGAATTCCGGAGAACAGGACAGCTGCCAAGAAGGAAGAAGAGCTGGAAGATCCCACAACAGATGGCTTGATGATATAGAGGAAGATCTCAAGAGAATGGGAGTTAGAGGTTGGAGAAGGAAGGTGGTGAACAGAGAGGAATGGATGAGCATTGTTATGGAGACCAAGGCTCTACAAGGGCTGTAGTACCAATAGAGAAAGAGAGAGACATATTTCAATACCAATCTTCAATTTTACTTGGTAAAAGTTACAGAAATTTTTAAACATATAGCTGAATAATACATAACTGTACACTTTACATGAATAATTATGCAACCTAGCAACTTTCTTACCAGCGAATATTGATGTCCAACCAAAGAATGGCGTTCACTTTCATTCTGCCATGGGACATAGTCCCATATTTCAGAAAAGTCATTAACATTAATTCATGGTTTTCTTCAAATTAGGTACACATATTGGTGTCTTTGCTTAACAAACATCAGGCATACATAACTGTAATTAATGAAAGGTAGAGAAAAACTGCATATGGATAAACAAAAGGATATTACAAATAACTTTAATTATGATGCCAGCTGAATACTTACATCACTTCTGGTTTTGAACTTTGAAAGCTTTAAAGGCTTGATTTTTGTTGCATAGATTGTGCCATTGTAGGCATACTTGGAACTGTCAATATCTAGTCAACCAAGACTTTCTATTTATCTTCAATCAGAAAAGTTAATGGATGGATCCATGGCAGACATTTCAATGATTTTGCAACTAAATTTATAAATAACAGTTATTCAGGAACATGAAACTCCACTGCAGCAGGAGCAATTGACATAGTTTCTATGGCCTTTGCTATTTTGCTAATCAAATATTTTATTTCCTTTTTGAAGCCATATTTGAAACTAAATGTAACTGCTATAAACACGCATTTGGATACAACATGTCTTGGATACGTTTGTTAAAACAGGCATCATTGCTAAACACACACTATTAATCTTCTCTGCAATCAACACAAATCTGATTTCACCACTGAAAGGTAGTGTCAACAACTAGTAATGCAAGGATTTCTATATTTCAGTAACTAACACCCAGGCTGTGGGAACATGTATTTCATTAAGTTATAAAGATAATATAATTATCACAATCACTAAACATGTCTAGTATATGCAGAATTCACTATTAATAACTATAAATCTGAACACCATATCCTGAAAACATCCACTCCTACCATAACGACTAATGCTGTGAAACTACAAGAAATCAGCTCAATATAACTTAGACTAATGTTTTCAAGTTGGTTTCATCAAAGCAACATTAATTGCGGTTAATATGAGTTAACACTACTTAAAATGCCAATAACTGTTACGGTCAAAGACTGGTGTAAAATTCGAGTTGGTGTGACGAGAATGAACGTTTATTAATGATGAAAAGGACTGGTTCATTCGTACATCAAATATATTGTGGTTCCTTTAGACATTTGAAAACCACTACAGTTATTTGCATTCATTTCATATAAAGGTAATTTAATTACGTAGAACTAAATCAAACACCACTGTTCATTGAAATTATAATTAAAACTGAGAGGTCCCAAAAAAACTTTTCGGCTGCTCAACTTCCAATTGTCATAAAAAATTTAAGTCCTTCGAACTTCAAAACATATAGCCACCGTATGTTCGCAAATAAATCTTAATTTTTTGTTCAAATTACTTTTCGCTTATTTTTTTCCACTAAATTTAAAGCAAACTGTGTAAGAATTATCCGCCTCGAATGCCACATCAGGTTGTCCGACAGTTAGAACTTGGAAATTTCTACATACCAACAAAACCACTAATTAGCAATACCAGTAGTTGTTTTACATTTCTTGCTCCTATAACCATTTCCATTCAAGCCTACTAGTAAATATAAGAGTATCAACCCTTATCATCACTATTTATGACTGCTAATGCACAATTTTTCATTTCTTTCACGCCATTTTGATCCTATCATAATAGTTTCATAACGAAAGATTAACCATTTCCTCTTATGAAATTTGCAAATATATATTTTAGAATTGCTGTTCTGAAACTCAACGTTATATTCGCAAATCACTATTGTTAAACAATGTGTATTGTGCTTAAAATTATATTACAATAGAATGTTGTAAAATATATTCGGCAAAATGATACATTTTCCTCTTACGATCTTTGAAACAAAAAAATCTTGAAAATATTCTACAAGAGAATTGAACACCAGGTTTACTTTATGGTAGTTATTTTCAGTGCCTTATTGTTACGAACCACAAAATTAAGAGTATAATCATAGATTGTGTAAATAAAACGATTAAATTGTTATAGAATTATGGTCAACATGACAACCATCTGTCTAAGACGTTCGAAATTCTAGGTCACAGGGAATGAAACACCATCCTAAACGGAGCTTTGCTACTTCAGGGTTGTTCACACTACGCAGTTTGACCGAATGCATAGAGTAGAATACAATTTACTTACATTCCATAGATCGTTAATAGCCCCAAGCCTATGATGTAGAACATGTTACAGCACAAATACAATATTTGTTTCTAATACAAATATAAATGACACAGTCCCCGTTATATCAATCTATTGAAAATGAGTACGTTCCAAATCTATATTCTACCTAAATGTAGATGGTTTTTAAATGTCTTTGATAATGCACTTTTTTATCCCGAACTACAGAAAATGGGCCCTAGTTGTAACCACGTTGTCCGTTGGGGCCGCATTTTCAAGAATAGAGACTGATCAACGGGCGGTCAATGATTGTTCGCTTGTCCCGACGTGCCAATGATTGATTCCCAACTGCCCCGTTCGAAAATGGGTGAATCAACACTTTCTGTCAAACACAGTAAGTCACCACTCGAAGGGATTGAAGATCTGGAGAACCTTCCCACCGAGACCTCAGTAGAGTTGACACGTCTTCTCTTCAAGGCCAGCTCCTTCTCAACACGGAAAGCTCACCCCCCGAGCTGCCCATACGACCATCTTCCTCTTCATAGGTGAGTATGGCTGTGCGGCCTAGGTCAAACACAAGGAACGTCTTTCGACTGGCGTCTTGGAACGGTCATGGTGTTCGCGGCAGGAAACAGTTTCTATGTGAGCTCGACGTCGATGTTTGCCTCCTAAACGAGACAAACCTTTGAGTTGGATCAGGCCCTAAAGTTCGCAAACTATTTTTGCCACCGGACAGGCCACTAGAGTCGGGGAGGAGGCACAATGTTCCTTGTCCTCAGGGGCATCGGTCATTGTGATGTGCCAGTTTCGGGTCTGCAGCACCTGTTGGTGAGTGATGGCAAAATCCTCGTAACATGATCCTCTGGGAAGTAAATGAGAATGGTAGCTGTGTGATGGCAATTTGGATTTATACCGAGTCACAGTATGATATTGCATCAGGCCCGTTGGTTTTGTTTAAAGAGCTAACAGAAACTTAGATGAGAGGCAAGTGTTTCGACTTAAGGTCAACTGATATGAAAAACCACTTAGTTCCGCAATTTAAAAAGCACTGGTGCCGACCCAGCGCTGAGGACTGATGCTTAGCAGGCCAACTGACGATGTTCCTAAAAAGACGGCCAAGTCAGCACAACGAGTTGCCTACACCTACTCGAATACCTGACTGTGGTTTTCCGTTATGTTCCTCAGTTTATCGCCAAATGCCAGGTTATAATTCAAAAGGGGCAGTGCCAATAATGGGGGCCTTCAGCAACGGCGAATTATCTCCCAAGCTGAAGAGGCCTTCAGCCAAACCGATCCCAATACTTCTTGGTTCAACTTCCACAGAGACATCAAACCAAAATCTTTTTCATAGAAGACAATTTCCCGGATGGGATAATCTCCCATCATTAACAATAGTCTCTACTTTGAAAAGTCAAGACCTTCCATCACAACAAAAACCTGTTAGTGTAAGCACACCTCCCTTACAGTTTTAAGCAGGGCTGTATTATAATTGTCCCTCACCTTGTATTTTACTGAGGTAGAAGGGTAGTTGTTTCCTGTGCTTAGGTCAGTGGTAATCTCAGAAACAATGCTGTGGCTTGCAACATGATGTTAACTGAAACCGAAGTATGGGAGAGATAACCAGATAATAAATTGTTACAAGTAATCTTTGTAATTCAGCAGGTTTGTTATAAAAATGTCTCTTGACATTGAAAACACTTTCATGTCAGGTCACAAGTTCCTGCAGTCACACCCACGTTACCAAAGAATGCTCCTGTTTGATCAAAGCCTATCAGAGCTTGATGTGGTTTTCCTGACACTCGACTCCCTAATGTCAAAATTAAGTAGATCCAACTTCATCAGAGGTTAAATTATTTGACTTGATTTATTAACTAACTAGATGGCTTACTGATCCTGAAGGTTTATCACCGAATTAACTAAAGCCCTTGATTTATTACCTTGATAAAATATTTATGCAGGAAATCCCTCTCTTTCTTTGTTACCAAAATCGTTCACATGATAAATTCTACATGCTAGTAGGAACCTTGTCTGCACTGTTTAATTACTTGTAACAAAAGTCTCAGGACACTACTACAGTATTATTCAGTAGTCACAGAAGACCCTGTGCCTAGGGCTTTCAAAAATTATCAAGCTATCTTAATTAGGACCAGACTTATATGCATTTTAAAGCATCAGAACAAAGGAAATTTTGGGGAAAGCAAACTAAAGAAGTGTAAATTAAGGGATATTGGAAGAAAAACCAACATATTTATAACTTACTCATTAGAATCTGTAGGCTTACAAAATATAATTCAAATCCAAAGCAGTCATGCATGTCAACTGCCGTGTTCAATTGACATGGCATTACCCACATATGCCGATTTCTTGCCGACAGATTTTTCAAGTTTCCTGCATAGCCTATAGGCTGGATGACTATACCTTGTCAACTCTCCATTGTTACTTGCAAACTTTAACATAGTGCAACAAATCTTCATGGCTCAATTTTTATTTTGTGTTTGCTTGTATTTGGCTGTTATATTTAATATTGTACAAGTATATATTTAGTTAATATGTTTGTGTAATATTTTTCATTGTTATTTTATTATTATTTGTATGTATTATCAGTGTTTGCCTGTTATTGGCTTCTTGCTGTTGGTAAACACTTAAATAAATGAATTGAACTTCTTTTGTTGAACAATGGCCATCAACTAATGAAATGAAATTATTCAAGAGGAACATCTACATGTAATTGTACAGTACAAGAATCTGCTATGAAAACAAGCTTGAGTCACTATTGATTTAACAGTGTGTGTTGCTAAGCAACTCCATCCTCTGTTTGGAATTTTACATGTGTGTACATATTCTGTAAATATGATTAACAAAAAGATGATCATAGCTATTTCTACCAACAAAGTTTATGTTTTACTTGATTTGTCAGACCTGTGAAAGAACTGTGTATTGTTAATGTCTGTTTTAGGAAAATGACTGATTTTATTGGTAATGGTAATTTTAGCAGATCATGTAAAATATCAGTTATTTTGTTAGATCCTAACAAAGATGTGAATGAGTCTCAAGATGATAGTAAAACATAATGTGAAAGAAACAGTGTGTTACTACCAGATAGGATAACGATGGACATGGGGGTGAAGTAAAATCAGATGATTTCAACTTTCTTTTTAGATGAGGAAAGGAATCCATCACAAAGTGGAAAAAAGAGTAATGTGCCAAAGACAATGGCTGATGTGGTCATGATGGCAAGATCTATGATGGAAAGAAAGAAAAAGATGCCAGTAGCAGTATCAAAGGATTCCCCTGGTAGATTTGTAGGGCAGTTCTGTGAGTAACAATGATAATTATACTACTTCTTAAAGTTAATATGAATATGTGGATCATTAAAAATAATTTGCTATTAGACTTTGTCAAGACCAAACTATCTTTATTTTGACAACTTTCAGTTTTTTATTTTGAACAATATTACTACAGTTGTATGTAAACTAGAAACTGTTAATTGAATGAAATCATTTGGACAAGCTATTTGTCGACACACATCAAAGGAATGGTTCAGGTTATCTGGATACAGTTAACAGGTTATCTGATACAAGTAACATGTACAAAAATTATATTCTGTACAGAGGCCAATGACAATCAATACATTATACTATACATTTAAAATTTTAGTGAATATAAATAGTTAAAAAGTGTTGTTAGGTGGAAGTAGTCCCGCACCGTAGCCGCACGGTCTGAGGCATCATACTTCGGACTGGTGATACAGAATGCGCACTGGTTCGAGTCTTGGGGGAAAAAAAATTTCTCATGATATTTTCGACCAGTGTATGGGACTGGTGCTGACCCAGCATCGTGAGGAAATTGGGGAGCTACAATGGGTAGCATAATCCAGTCATGAAAACTAGCAATGGCTGGGGATTCGTCGTGCTGACCACATGTCATCCTATATCTGGTTGGATGATCGTTCACCTCTGCTTAGGTATGTGAACGTGAGGCCACCAGCCAGCTAGTCAGCTTTGGCTCTCAGAGGGCTGTTACACCATGGATTATTATTATATGGAAGTAACAATGACATTTAATAGTAAGTTCCTTTATCACAATTAAGAGTCCAGGTATTTTTTAAAATCTTTATTTCTTGTTAACATTTTCCTCACAAACACTGACCCTGGAAACATTAAGCTTGGACATTTTACATATCCTTATATGTGTGCTCATCTCTTTTGAGACAAGTCCAAGTTTTCATGGAAAGCCCCTATAGTGACAGATGGTATGTCATTTTTGTATTTTACAGCTCCTCACACTGCTGGGTTGTTAAAAATCGAGAGGATTGGTGTTATATCTGTGTTGGAAGACTGCACTGATCAACTAAGCATTTTGAGGAAAATAAATGCAACAAGAAATTTCCCAGCTGACATAAAATATAGGAGTCTGAAAGAATGGTACATGCACTCAGATGTCTATGTTTAGTTGTTGAGTAAAGAAACATTACTATTAGAAATACAGCCCAACCAAAAATCCTGCCCATTATTTCACAGCAAATGTCACAAATTATTGTGGGAAGAATTCATGATGCTTACTTTCCATCAAATACTCCAATCTGTATATGGCTGGACTAACAGGAATTATAATTACCACTTATTGCTACTAAACTGGTCTATTTCATCATATCCATTTCTCTGGGCAGTGGGAGTAAAAAAACTGCATTAGTAATGGGTAAAATGAGCAGGAACTCCATCATGCTTAAACCACACAATCTGTCTCATTACCAATCATATACTCTACAGTATTTGAAACAATTATTCCATTCAGAAAATGCAAATAGATTTCTGAGAGCCAAGGTAGTAGCTCAAAATGTGCTCTGAAGAGACTGCCAATTATTTCTACCCAAGCATCAGTTGTACTGATTGCCTCACTGCTGCATAATGTCATCATAAATTGCAAAAAAGTGGTTGTGACTATATGTTTATATGAACTTCTTGGTTTGATTTCAGGAGTAGAACATGATTTTATATTTATTGTATATAATTTAGCATCATCACGTATGTATAAGATTGCCATAAGACACAATTTAATTGTTTCTGTGTTTTATTTTAACTCAAGTGCCTGGGTTGTAGTTATATACCCACATCCATTCTGAGAGACCAGAGTGTATGTTTGTTAATTAGCCATCTCGGACTTACGGCCATGAAAACCTCAAATCCTAATTAGAAGTGTATCAGTCATGATAATGTGTAAACATCAGTCCACATGTATCTTATACAGCAGAATCTAACACAAAATACATGTACTGGCATATATGTTTATTTTTAGATATAATAATTGTGTAACATAACTAAAATGATTTTGATAAATCTGATATAAAAGAGTTTAACAATAAAATTATATTTTTTACTAGACTCATACTCAGGGAAGGTTTGTTGAATAAGCGGAAAATAAATTATATAAATACTGAAATAAATTCAACAAAACTGCAAGTCCTTAAAATAACTGAAATTCTCACAGTTCTTAAATCCATTTAGATTCAAGGGAATCTCAATTCAATGGCTAGTTTTCTGCTGCAGAGTTGACATACTTCTACTGTACATTCAAAGCATAAAAAATGTCTGCATGCATGACACATGTGTGTTTTTCTTTGTGTCCCTTTTGTAGCATGTTTTCCTTTCCTGAAGTTTTCCCTCTGTTTGATGTCCTTCATTTGCACCCAAAATTCATTGAAGTTCATGTGCAATTCAGCAATTCTGCACTCTGATCTCCATGTGAATTTAAATCAGCTGTAAAGGATTCTAAAGGACTTACATGATGTACTTGGGAAGTTTATAGTTACTTAGTCCATCAAGAAGGCCATTACAGTGGACTTTCACCTGGCCAGTTCAGTTCAGTTCTAATGTACACACCTTTCATTTTAATATTATGCTACTACTTATGTACAGGTCTGACATGGGACATCTTCCTTTTAGGTTTCTTAATCATAACTCTATTTGTATTTCTTGTTTCCTCCATAAGTGCTGAATGCTTCACTAATCCCACCCCATCATTCTTAATATGATTATCTTAAAATGGAAGAACCATACAAATTATGAAGCTCTTCATTCTCTTTCTTTGATCCAGAAAGTCTTGTCAGCATTTTGTATTCAAACATTCTTGTCTGTGTTCTTCCCTTAGAACTGTCATGGCCATATAAAACAACACTTAAAGTTATCTTCTTTTTGTTTCAATCTTTACATTTTTACATAGGTTATGGGAAGATGATCCTGAACTGAATGGTAGCATTTCTTGAAATGAATCTACTCTTAATTTCACCACGAATATAATTTTGATTTGCTGTTGTTGGTGTAATTCCCAAGCACTGGAATTCTTTCCATGTGGTTTACTATCAATTCTTATATTATTATTATGTCTTGTACTCTAATGAAGAGGTATTCTTTTCACCCAGTAAGACGATCTCATGTGAGAGTATATTTGCCGGTTTTGGGAGACTATATATGGTGAGAAAATATAACAGCTTTGTATTGAAGGTTAAAAATAAAGAAGTCACTGGAAAATGTAAAGAAAGCAATCAACAAAATTGGATAAATCATTTGAAAGACTAGAAAGAGATCACCTTCCATTTTATAGGTTATGCAGCATCATCCAGTAGGGTGATATGTGAATTATAAAGCATGTGGAAAAAAGCAGTCATAGTTTTGTCTTCAAATACAGTTCCAGCATTTTATATGGGAACTGAGAAAGATAAAAAAAATCAACCTGTCTTCGGGCATGACTTAAATTGAGAACTTACCAAATGCAGAGGCATGCCCCACTAGAATGTAATGTTGAGTTTAAATGTTCTTAGGTATGGGATCTTATTAGTGAAAAGATGAACCTACTAAAACAATTGGTGAAAAATGTTTAGATGAGGAACTGTGTTGAAATGTCACCGTCATGTACTTTTTTGCAGGATAAGACTTGAAGAGGTTCTGCATATAGTCATGGATGAGCTAACATTTCAGAATTCCTTTAAGACTCTAGTGGAAATATCAAAGTTTGAAGAACAGAAACAAAGTGAAGAGGCAGAACTTAGAAGTATAGAAAAGAAAAATGTGAAGAAAATTAATAATCTTCACATGATGTTGAAAACAGAGTTTAAGAAAGGCATGGATGAATTAAATGAGAGACATGACACTGTGGCAAGGCTGAAAGTATGGATTGTCTGTGTAACATTTCTAGTACACCTAAGATTATCAGGTTAAATGGTGGAACTGATATTTAGCATCAGTCTGCTAGAAAACTGGTCTTTTTTAACTCTTTCATGTGTGCCATTTCTGTATTAAGTAGTGTGGCATCAAAACAGAAACAGACTCCAATTAGAAACAACAATGTATTTGTCTTAAATTATAAAATCCACTTGGAAATCAGAATCAAGCATGTAGTTATAAGTCAACATGGAGAAAATCTTAGACAAACAACAGAAATCATATATTCAAGGTTGTTGTAAACACAATTTCTGATGTATATATGGAAGAGAACCTCCAAGTGCCAAATTATGAATTCATGATCTTCAGAAATCAGTGATATTCCTAGTGACTTTTGTAACACACTTCGTATTTTCTTAAATTGAGTACATCAATGACAAATCTTTTCCTGAATTTAAGTTGTTCTTAATTTCTTTTCCAGTTTCCAAAGGCTTTACTTTCAGTCTCTCCTAATTTTCTTGAACATTCCTAATAGCATATTCCAAAGCAAAGCTGAAAGGCAATGATGGTGAACTGTTTTCTTGTCCCAGACCATTCTGAATAGGATATTAGTCACTGACAAAAAGCAATAAAATACTGATCTTGTGTCACTCCCAAGATGTTGGTATTACTGATGGTAGGAAATTAAAAAGGACATGTATGTGGGTTGGTCCCTAGTTGCATGATCACATCAGGTTAAATGAAATATAAGAAACTTGTTAGTTGGGTAAAAAGTTATTGGTGGGGAATGATGGATGGATATGATACCATAAACAAACTGATCTTACAGTATAAAATAAGAAAAAAATGATAATGTGACTTTTTCAATGACTTATCACTCCTTTCATAGGATCAAATTCAAGAGACACTATTCATGAATGATCTGAAATTCAAATATGTATCTAAATGGGAGGCAGCACGTATAGAACAGAACTGTGAACGGCTGTCTCTTTCTGAAAAAATACTAGAAGACCAGCTAACAGACCTCAAGGACAACATAGACATGGAGATGAGGTGCCATGTTGAAATTGAAATGTACATGAAGCACGCCACTACGGTAAGTAACTCTTGTGTACTGGCACATTTGAAAACTATTAGAAAATCGTAATATTCAAAAATTTCTTTGAAATTATTGTTCACATGTCAGAACAAGAAACACAGGGCTGTAGTTCGCATTATACCTGAAAAGTTCAAACATTATTCACTGTGAAATATGTATACAAGTGGAAAGGTTTATCCTTTACTCCAATTTGTAATACTCGTACTGTATTCCCAAATTCAGTCTTTGCAATGTTGCATACATCACTGTTATAGATGTTTATTACAGACACAGCCTGTTGTTCCAAAACTAACCACACTATGGATACACTGTAACACTGCACAGTAATACATTAATTTTCCTTGTCATATCAAAGAAATGCTTCACCTAATGCACCAGTGATATTTTTCTTTAAATCTGATGAATTCTGATTTAAATATCTTATAACGTAAGAAGTATATTAGATTAATTTAAAACAAATTTAAATTCACTTGTCAATTTTTAGTGCAGCCTCCCAATTTTTAATTTCATCAAAATCCATTCAGTTATCATGAAAAAAAAAGAGAAGTATGCCAATGCTCCTCATACATGTTCATTCCATGCATCATCTTTGAATTAAAAACATGAACACATAGAAGGGTGACAAGATAAAGTATGTATCTGGTCTGACTGACAGTCAGGCCACTTAACTACAACCCAGAAGACAGCCATCTTTGGACTCACCGCAATGGAGAACTCGTATCCTGCATGGTGCAGAAATCAAAACTGTATATCCTAAGTACACCTAGTGAGAACACTGCAAATAATATGAAGGAATTCAACAGTATTCATGAAAAAGCCACTGTGTGTCTGACTAAAGGAATGTGTGGTGGGCATTCACCTACATTTCAGAGGTACTTATTGTCTCCACCATCAGGATGAAGAGAAAACTTCTACCAGACTACATGGTGCAACAACCCATAAGACAGCCATCTTATGGTAATTTTTTGTTTGAAGTTCCCTCTAATTTAGAACTATTTTTATGTTTGACCTCAACATTTTTTCATTATTAGTGGTAGTATAATGAAGTGGTATTTCTAAATAACTTGAACCTATGGCTTTGGCACCTCCTTATTCCAATGCTACAATTAAGACCTAAGATATAGCAAATATTACAACCATGTTGTGCTCGCCCCTCTACCCCCAACAGCACTTCTAATTCTGAATTTCTGCTACAAAAACACTAAAAGGCACGTTGCATTTTCACTCAGTTCTACAGAATGTGCAACCTCATCGCATAAACTGTAAGATTTGTCTGAAAAATGCATGTTTGTGTGTCATTTTGACATGTAATGATGTTTACATTCACAGAATTTAGAAAAAGAAATTAAAAACTGGATGGAGAAGTATGGCAGTGAACTGGAAGAAAGAGCAGCTGACTGCCAAAAGCTGCAGGCAAAACGAGCAGTCACATGCAAAGAACTCGAAGATCTGCTCTCATTGGTATGTTTTAAAATTACTATTGATTCAGGTTGAAAGTAAAAAATGGGAAAAAATCTGTTTAAATTTTACAAAGGTACAAACAATTAAAGGCACCTGATGACTGAAGCTAGAGCAGTGAATGTCACAGTGAAGTAATGATAGTGCAGCATTACCAGCTAACTCAGTTCAGGTATGCTGTATTACCTTAAACTTAAAAGAAATAAAAAGGTAAAGATTATCAAACTGCCAACAGACCTGTTAACTTTAGCAAGAGTATCACTGGTGAGTTAAACAACTTATTTATTTTTTTAAATTTACTTTACTTTAATACTATCTTATCACCTGTCTCCTAATCTGTGCCAGTTAAATAGCTGAGCATCCAGTTGTAGTCTGGTAGAAATTTACCATTGTTTCAGAGGTGCAAAGGGTTTTTATTACTTTCTTACATACAGATAATAATATTCTGTCATCAATAGGATTATGGGTGTCCTGGTGGTAGTTCGGGAGAGTCTTAAGGTACTGAGTTCACTGGGTTGAACGAGAAGGGTAGATGCATACAATAAAGAAGCTGGGCAAGCTAGGCAATAGACAGTGGGATGTATTGCTATTGTTATGTCAATTTGAAGATGATTCATTGCAGCAGTGGTCCATTCTGAGAATTCTTACAAGCTGGATAATGCTGATCTAAATAAGCCACTGTTGCACTTTTCTTTTGGTGATGTTTTTGATAGAAGCTGAGGCATCTTAATTAATTTATGATTTGGGTTATAAATTTGGATGGCATCAATTTAATGCAAATCATTCCTGTAATCTACTTACTCACTATACAGTGCAGGGCATTCTTTGAAAAGTCAACTGTATACTGGGCTTGTCAAACAATAGCCCACTTTTTTATGGAACCCAAAAGTTCATCACCGTGTTCACAAAAGCCCACCACCAGACTCTATCCTGAGCAAGCTGCATTCAGTTCGCTCCATCATTTCTAGTCTGCCTAAGGTCAACCTTAACGCCATCCTCCCAACTACGCCTAGGTCTTCCCAGCGGTCTCCTCCCTTCATGTCTCCCAATGAATACTTTGTAAACACCCCTCCCCTCCCCCATCATGCCACATGTCCCAGCCACCTCATCCTCCTCGATTTAATCGCCCTAACGATATCAGGTGAGGATTACAGGCTGTGTAACTCATATTTTACAATTCTCTCCATGATCCATCTCCCTCCCTTTTAGGTCAAAATGTCTTCCTCAACACTGTTCTTAAAAACCCTCAATCTATGTTCCTCCCTCAATGTGAGACACCAAGTTTCTCACCCATACAGCACAATTGGCAAAACTATACTTTTGTATATTTTAATCTTTAGTTTATTTTATATGAGATGGGAGTACAAAAGATTTTGGACTGAATGATAGCAAGCATTACCCAAATGTAATATTATCTTGATTTCATAACATTTTTGAACAATTCATTAACTATCTTTATATTCTGGTTCTATCCTGAATCCTGGTACTGAGACATGATCATATACTTTGTCTTTTCTGCATTTCTTTCTAGACCAACATTCCTACTAGCATTTAAGAATGTTTCTGTGTTTGTTTTATAGTATTTATATTATTGCCCAACAGATTAATACCATCAGCATAGAACAAAAGCTTATGTGTTCCATTCAATTCCAAACTGCCATGACTTTTTTTGGACTTTCCTGATGGCATATTTTAGGAAAATTTGAAAAGCAGCAGCAATAGAGCATCTCCCTGTTTTAGGCCATTCTGATCAAGAAATGTATCAGACAAATGTTTACCTACACAAATTTTGCTATAGGTTTCACTTAAACACATTTTAATCAGTCTGACTAGCTTCTTAGGTACACCATTTTCAAGCATAATATTGTAAACAGCTTCTCTTTTAACTAATTCATAGGCTTTCTTGAAGTCCACAAGTATTAATTTGAAACTGAGGTAAACTAATTACAAATATGCTTCATATAAATTTAGGTAATAATAATTAGTCAATCAGTACACTGCAAAAACACGGATTTTCTTCAAAAGTCAGGTGCCGAGTGTCTTCTTCAAAACAAATCACTGAATACAAGAAAGATTCAGTCTTTCCGATTTTAAAACAAAATGGAAAAGTCTATCCTCAAAACCATGTTGCATGTCTGGTTGGCAGTTGAATTTATTCTGTGAAAAACAAAGAAACACAAAGCATTTGAGGTGAAAAACACAAAAGTATGGCAGTGTATTTAGACTAAGACTGGAAATATGGAAGACCTAAATACAATGTGGGGTGTGTGTGCTGATTTTTGCTTCAGCCTGTACCACACCAAACTGCATTTCTGAGGATTGTTTGAGACTACACTGGACATAGCATAACAGAAATGTAGATAAAATAATAAAATTCCCATTATTTATTGCTTTCTGCAATACTAATATCCAGATGAGATAACCAGGAAAGTGGATGTGGATTTAGTGAAAGGGATGATGAAATAACAGAGGCTTTTATGTATCATCCTTAGATATTTGTCCAGTTTTGTAGTTTTGTGGGGCAATAAAAATAGAATGACTGCTTGAAGATAACTATAAATGATTCAGGATTCTTGCAACCTTCATGGGGATTTTAGTTAACAAGCTCACATCTTGAAGTTCAATTACAAATAAATTTTTAGCAATGTAAGAAGCAATTCAGACTTACAAGTTTCTGTACATAATTTTTAATAATAATATGTATAATGAAATATTGGGACAATATAGTTCCATTCATGTACTGCAAATACATACCCCAAGAAATACATTTCCCTTTCAGGAGATAAAGGTTAACTTTCCAGTTGCACAAAAGAAAGCATGGTAACATTAAATATGTAAACTTGATTGGCATCTGTTGAACGTAAAGTGTACTAGAAGGAATGACCTACACGATGAACTTGAAATTTCAAAGCTAGAAATTGGTAATGGTTTTTATGTACATTTTGAATGTGGTGGTTTTGTTATTACTTCATATGGCACATCAGACTGACACATACCAGTGTAATATAACATCAGTATGACTCACAAATGTGATATTCAGGTAAACACATGACCAAATAAGGCATTCATTCTGCAATAAATATTCACCGATTTGTCATCTTCAGCTGCACTAACAGCAAGCATCTTCAGCTTAATACACTTGGAACAGTGACACCACGTGTATCTGTGTTCATACACATGCTCAGATTGCAGGTCAACACAAAAGAAAAACTAAATATGTGGCTTGAAACAGTTGTTTTCACTGGATTTGCCATATTTCTTAGAAACACCAGACACCACAATTTTCATGTGTTACTTTCCAGTATCAACAGCATCAAAATGAAATAGATGCATACCTGGCACACAAAGAAAAAGAGGCAGCTAAAGCTGCACACGAGGCCCACCTCTACTGCATGGCGACTGTCATTCAAGCTTGGTGGCGTGGTACTATGGTTCGGCGAGGACTTGGGCCTTACAAAAAGAGTAAGAAGGGCAAAGACAGAAAGGGAAAGGCTAAAGGTAGAAAAGAAGGGATAAAGAAGAAGATATAACAAGTAAAACAGACAAGTATTTTGTACATTATATGTACACTTAGCAATCTGAAATATTACGTTCTGGTGTAATTTATGCGGTTTTATAAATACACAGTATGAAAAATATTATTTAAATATGTATTTTGTTTCTGTACTCATGTACATAAACTACTAATCAAAACAAATTTCTGATGAGTAATGTGCATTCAGATTATGTTCTTAATCCTTAAAAGAAATGTTTCTTATTATGTGTGAATTCCTGGCTGTACTTGTTCTGTACTTACTTTTTTATAGATATAATTTAAACTGAAATATATTCAATAGTTTGTATCATAAACTTTAAGTGTTGAAATTCCTTTTGTAGTTTATTCTGTGAGTGGCTGAAGTAACATTTTGGGGCATTTTAAGACACAATTCAAGGCACTGCATTAAAACACATTGGTAATTTTTACTGAAATAAAAACATTAAACTATTTCATGAACAAAATACGAATCAATAGTTTATCACACAGGCTCTGACTTCTTATTAAGAAATACAAGCCACCATACACAGTCATACAGTAGTACCTGTAATGCAGGTCAAACCTGGCCCACTGATGATAAAAACTGGGATTATTAACAAAGACTCTTGATCTAATGTGTGAATAACATTATGAGTTCTTCTTTGAACAGTTGAATGAAGAAGCAAACAGATGTGCATGTTTCCAACAAGGCAGGGAACCAACAAAAACTGCAGAAAATTTAATAAAGACTTCACTGACTGTGTTTGATGAATTCCAATCAAGCAATTTTATCGGTGTCGTAAACACGATGAACAAATTTAATTTTGTAGGGATGAAATTTTGTGGTCTTCATGAAGAATACGGCGAATACTCCTGCCCGATAGGTGTAATGCAGCTGATTGACGCCTAACAGAGCGAGTTGGACTCAGCTGTACTGCTTCCCTAACCCTCGCAATGTTCTCTGGTGTGAGGACTGTTCATGCACTACCAGCAAAACGATCACAAACACTGCGGGTGTTACTGAAGTTTTCCACCACCTCAAAATAATGTTACGGGTAGGAATTCTTCCATGCCGTACAACATTAAATGCACGCCTAAATCTTCTCTGGACCAGGATTACCGATTTGCTTTCAATAAATGCTGTTACCGCGAATACGCGTACTGCCACCGACCAGTTAGCCATACTGTCTTTCACTAACAGATCAATTTTGCGTGTGCAAATTATGTGGGAAAGTGTGTAAAAGATACCATATAACAGAATGTGATGAACTAGAAAAAAACAGTGACGGAATACAGCAAAGACTGATTCTTATTAACATTTTCACATTCGTGCGTATAAGAAACTGCATGCCTTGACAAATTTAATATTGTCACTGTCACTTTTTACATGCTCCTTTTTCACTACTTGTTAAGTGTCCACTTATTACAGAACTATACGTTTTGGTCAGAAGTGGTTACCATCAGGTTCATGTATTATTGTATGATAACCACTGCAATTTCTCAATGCAAACCCATGACACCATATACCAGAGATCATTTAAACTGTAAGATTTGAGGTTTCCACAGCAGTGAGTATGAAGTTTTCTGTCTTCTGGGTTGTTGTGCAGTATAGTTTGATGGATGTTAACCAACATTTCAGAGGTCATACTGCCTCTGTCATTAGGGCGATCAACCAGACTACACAGCGCAACAACCCAGAAGACAGAAATCTTCATCATATAAACTATTTCTGCTAACCTCTATCAATGTTCACATGAAATCCTGTTCATGAGACTTCAGTAACTACTTATCATATAAGCAAGTTATGTTGTGCACATGCCTGACCCCCTTATTCCTTTGTGGAAAACATTAGTCTTTACCACAAACACATCTTTCTTCCATTTATAATACAGTGGAACCTGGATATAACATGGATTTTGGGGGACAGGTTCAGTATCTGCATTATATGTGAAATTGACATTTATCTAATTTTGGAATCCCTGATATTATGTATATTTATCCAGTGACTAAAATACATTAAATTTAAGGTAGATTTCAAACTTATGTTTCACCAATGCTACTAGTACAGACCATTAGCACCAGAACAATGCAACTCTTCATGTCTCTACCAAAAGCAGTGTTCACTAAATTTTGCCCTTCAAACAAAAGAACCCCAAGGTTAGAGAAACCAGAAACAACCTATCATAGCGAACTATGAACTTTACCCTCTGTACCCGCACACCACAGCAAAAATGTTGTAATAGTCTTATAATGTAACCAAAACACTTCACAGAAATTTAAATGATGTAAAATACATGTAATCATATAGAGGGACATGATCACAGCTGTGGTATATCTGAGTTCGCTGTATAACAAGGAGCTGTATGTCGAGGTTCCACTGCATAATTATTAATCTATTTGCTTTGTTTTTACTATTTCATAACTTCCAGTGATGTAAGCATTACCGGGAAAGTTTAAATCAAATTAGAACAAGCACAATATTTTTCTGTCTGCTAGTAGTACAGCAAGCCATTTCCAAGGCTGTGTATGTCACATGGACTTAATTAACTCTTGCTGCACAATATAGTTATCGCATTCCACACAACCATCTATGAATGATCAAGTGAACTATTAATGCTGCATTCTGTGAGTGGTCATATTAACTATTTGATGTATGAGTCAGAAAAGATTGATGTCATCCCCCAAGCTGCCAACTATCGGTGATCATACAAATTATTCTACCACTGGCTTCACCACCCGACATAAAGTGCTGAATTATGTTGCCATAATAATATCAACAGAAAGTTTGTTGAATGAAGTGAATTACTAAACTGTCTAACCAACTATGGAAGGTTACTTTTATTATGAATTGGTAATCTCTAACGAGATAATGTAGGACAGGACAGTGTATGGCATAAACATAATCTCTGCAACTTTTGTATACTCTGCAACACTACAAATGTTTACTACTTGAAAACACCTTCCATTTTGTAAAAAGTCTGTTGCATAACCACTAACTGTTTCGTAAATATTTCATTACCTACTATTATTAAGTTGGCCTAATTTAGGCACAAATATACGTAAACTGGGAGTGTCCGAAATGTCATGTATTAATCCTCTTTATTATCAGTTTGTGCATCCACAGACCACCAATGCCAGTCCTTGCCAGAGCTACGAGGCCAAATAAATGCGGCTGCTCTAGTCTATGAAACAGTTCTACAGAAATTGTACAGATTCTAAACATCTGTCACTGTAACTGCTCTGTGGGATTGTAATGAACTTAATTGTTTTGAAACGCCTGATAAAAAAAAACATAGTGTCCTTTACAGGGATTCCACATGATAAAAGGTGAAATCATCAAACCCACTAGTCACAACAACAGCAACTGCAACAGATATGGAACCGGGTTGGGTGCCACAAAACCACAAAAATTAAAGCGATACAAATACTTTACATTCAACGACATAATAAAATAGAATATTCTATAAAATATGGGAGCCAGGGTAGCTCAGGAATAGAGACTAGATGATTGGGGTTCAATGCTCAGCAGAGGCACAGGAATTCTATTTCAGCCTCTGCATCCAGACCAGCTTTGAGGTCCACCCAGCCTCCTATCCAATGAGTGTCAGGGGTCCTTTTCCTGGAAGTAAAGTGTGGCTGGGGTGTGATGCTGACCACTCACCCCCATCTAGAACCACAGTCAGGAATGAGTAAGAGCCCAATGGCATGTAGTGGGACAGCTTTATTTTATCCTACACTGATATCTTACCCTTTCATCAGACATCCTGAATATCCTTGTAAGGACCAGGAGGAGAAGGCAAGTCCAGGCATCACGGTGAGCCTCAGATTGGAGGCACAGAAAGTACTCTGATGCTTCGCGACATACCGCAATAAGGCGCTGCTGGATGGTCGGCCACGCGTCCTGCCTCGTTTCATCACCGTACATTTTGAACAGTATCCGAAGTCTCCTGCTTCAAAAGGTTTGGTTTCGCATTACCTCTGAAACCTGCTGACACAAGAAATGTTCAACTTTGGCTGCAGGCAGTCTGCTCTCCCACTTTCCACCTATTGTCTGTCCTATATAAGGATTCCAAACATTCCCAGGCAACACATACCGACCCTGAAGATAGCACCTGCAATTACCTGGGAAGATGAAATATAAACCATTCACTCCGTAAGAGTTTAGATAAATGATTAAATTGACAGCCTTCAATCAATTAATTTCATTAATCTGTTGAGAATGAGAAAAATATCTCAGTAAAATGTTTTAATATAGAGGTTTAATTTAAAACTTCTAAATACAGAATGTTTCTAAAATGTAACAGCTGATAACAAAGGAACTGTTTTAAATCTAAATATAGCATTTTAATATAATTTGCTGACCTGCTTTCCAGAGTAGGTTCCGTTGTTCAAGATTTGAATTGAAGACCTTAGCAAAGCGATGTGACTGGAGAAGACAATCAGTAAGGAGTAGGAGATGTTTAGAGCTCAGGTTCAGGTCCCTCTGCTGCTCTGACGAGCCAGCTTCTACATGCAGCAGGTCTGCCTGTGCAGTTAACGAATACCATCCAATTCAAACATTCAAACTGTTTCAGTTTCTTCTTTTGTGATTTTTTGGTCTCACTGTAGCTTTAATGACAGATAAGTACCACTGTGAGAAA